ACGTCAATGCAGTCGGATCCGTGGCCACCATTTTAAGTGAATGCAATAATATGCACCATGAGGTGAGTTTATCAATTAGATCCATTTACATGTATTCTGATTAACCTCCTCCTTGTTTTTCATGAAATTCATGGGACTTATTTGACTGTCGATGTACTTTTGCATTAAAATTTTTGTTTACTGCAGGGTTTGCTTCTCATCTGTATTATGCAAAATTTGTTGCATATGCGTCTTATTTTTATGATAAGACACTGTGCCATAATTCAATATGGACATATAATAAACATGTAACTTAGATACGTCAGTTAAGTTATTTCTAGCGACAAGTTTTCCACATGATATAATTTTAGCTTTTGTACCATCTAACAGTGTAACCTCCACATTATATCCATTTGCCTGACATTCAGGCAGCAGAGGCAGCCTTACACATGGAACTTAGCAGACATTTCCAACATTTATTGTTATTTATTGCATCTCAACATTGACTTAATCCTGTATCATAAGCTTCTGTTTTTCTCATATCAGTCATTGTAATTTTTAATGGTAGTAGAGTTGTATTCGTAGATTGTAAAGCATTAATTATTCACTGTCAGAAGATGTTCAAAAAATCACCTTAAGAATCAAACTGCAGATTATTGCTGCTTGGTATAAAACATGTGTCAGATTTTGTAGGTTACGAACTTTCCCTGTTTAATGGTTTTTTACTATACGATGTTTTTAACACTCTTTATATAAATTATCAACACTGCTAGATGTAGAATATTTTTTAACAAATGCATTATTTTTGTTATAAGATATATATAATTATTATTATTTTTATTATAAGTAAGCACTAAAATTAAATTGTACTTACTTGTGTTATGCTTGTTGCATTGAGATCTTTTAGCCACGGCGAGAAAATGGAAAAACCTTAAATTTTTCGGGTGTAGCTTTGCTCAATAAGTCGCAATTTTTCTAATATATAAAATGCTCTGAATATTCACAGGCGTTTTTAAAATTCCTCACAGTCTTGACCACCAATGAATGAAGCTATTTATGCATCAATTCAAGAGGACCTATCCTAGAACCGCGACGTTTTTATTCAATAATCGTAAGTGCATCAGAAATATCAGTAAAAAATTTTTGTAATTTTGTGGCATGTATTGGTTACTTTTCATCTGAATCACAGAGCACTGAAAGAAATTGTCTTCCAAAGATTCAGCTATTTAATACTTATTTGCTTGGATCATTAACAGTTTTATTTCGGGTAAATTTAGTGTTTTTATTTATATATTAAAATTAAATCTAACAGAACGGCTTAAGTAAAATAGAAATCAAAAATGCTACTTTTGAATTATTTGAATTTTTTAAGCACTCGCTTTAAAAGCTTCTGTTCAAACTTATGAACCGTTAGCAATCAGTCTTTCATATTACTTAAAATGCATCAATATTTCATATCTGCATGAAGACAAACTGTTAGACCTGCCAAGCTTGTCCAGTTGCATTAAAAATAACTCTGTTTTAAAAAATGTATTACACTAATAATAAGTGCGGTACTTACGTATTATCCCGTCGATCGCGAAAGCTGGCCACCATTGAACTATGTTGGCAGCGATCTCGCCAATGTCATGTCAATCATTCCTGGGAACGTCTAGAGGAACTGACATATCTTTATTTAATAAAGAATTATTTAATAAACAATCAATCAATCAACAATATTTAATAAAAAATCAATATTCAACCCGTTTCACTTTTTGCGCTTTGTAAAAAGGTTATCGTCGATTTCTGAAAATTTTAGGCCTTCCAATTTTACCGGACACACTATTTAGAACTCGATGAGTACAAATTTTTCGCAGGGAGTTGTTGCAATCTATTATTGTTTTGTCCGTCATATTCAGCTGAATATAATGGCATCCAAAATGTGTAATATATCCTTTTTTGTATTTTTCATGGCAAGATACCGAAGCTTTGAAAATAATCCACTGCTTGATGTTAAGAAGGCAGGTCCTAAATTTTAATAATTTTGTTTTTCAAAAAGAAAAAAAATAATAAATGGCATTAACAATTAATAACAGTTAATTTATGTCCTTGTTTATAAAAATGAAAGGTGGCTTATCGAGAATCAATCGGAATTACATTAGACCAAAGCGCAGATGTTATGAGTGTATTGTTTTGCCGACTGATGTTAAATCTGGTGTTATTGAACTTGTGTTAAATCGAACTGCCTGGGGACAGTTTCGCAATCGGCGAGATAATATGTAAGTACTATAAATAATATGCAAATCATTTCTAAATTTAGTTTATTTTTAAATATATATCAGTCGTAATTTGTTGAGATTAGGATACTTTAAATAAATATTATTTGCATTTAAATGAAAGTACGGTCATCTAGTATACACAAACTGCAGGCACCAAAAAATTTTTATGAAAGATGTAAAACTTAGCTAAATTACAGTCTGGCTAATTTCTGTTTAACAATTATATTAAGTAGCTGAAGAATGGATGGGGCGCTCAGGAGTTCGGGAAATTTCCCTAGACGTCGGTTTCTGTTACGCTTTGTTACCTGATATCTATGGTTTAAGAAGATGAAATATTAATCATAATTGTAGAATTTTTACCGGAAAAAAATGATAAATTCTGAGAAATGAAAAAAATTTAATGACACTCTAAAAAATGGAAAGTGGAATGGTAACCGTGTTAATCTCAACGTCTTCACCCCGTCGTCTTTAGCTCATCGAAAATTCGCAGTTGCTGGATTTCATTCTTCAATCCCTTGCATAAAAGCAAGGAGTCATGTCTGGCCACCCGGATGATTTCATAAAATTTTATAAAGGTATCAGCACTTTGACACAAGGCAACAACTTTTCACCAAAATCAAGACCTACGCATGTGTATTCCATCAGCTTTGATGAGGGTTCCTTTATGAGACTGGACATTGTAAAGGTGCTGGCACATTTATCACTTTATATCAGGTCACCTTTGTGTCTTGGTGATCGATGGTCAGCTTGAATAGGGATGCTGGCTCCTTTCTACAAATTGACAACTGTTCACCAAGGAACTTCACGAGGGCGTCCCGGTCGCCTTTGAGGAAAGTTGCTTTCCTTATGAAGTTGAAAATAGTGCCGATACTTTTATGACTTTATTCCACAATACTCTTGCGCCTTGCCGAACGACGAGACCAACCCCATCCGACCGTGGTTGAAAGTCTCTTTTATAATCTGTCGCATTGATAACATTTGTGAAACGACTTTCTCTTAGAATAATGCCGATTTTCTCACACAATGAATCTGTTACTATAAAATAATATTATATATATCTTGGAGCATAATTGAATATTTACTCAATATATTGATCTATTAGAATCTTAAAATTCCCCCATTAGCTTTAAAAGGTAACAGTTGAAAATTACAACAGTTCTTCCTTTTTGCTTGTCGTCTTAAAATTGTCAGATCAAGTTAGCAAACATTATACTTCTAATTATAATCAGTTTCTATCATTATTTAACAAACTGTACAATTGTATATCATTCATAATAGAAAATGACTTATTTCACGGTTGATTTTATTCAGATATATGTAGAATTCAGGTAGTTGCTGAAAATAGTATATCCATAAGTGATTTCACTCTTTCGCTAGAAATTTTCAAATTTTAGATAGATAATATTTTATAGTTAAAAATGTAGCAGTAGGCACCACCTCTGTTAGAATGTTAGCCTCTCTCTATTGTGTTTATTGCAAGTGATATCTGGCAACATGTAACTTGTTTTAGTTTTACAGCGCGAAATTGTTTTCATTTTTGATTTTATTTCAGAGCCATAGGTCATTTTTAGCCCATTTTTTTTAATGAATTATTTTAATTGGACATTGTGCTTGGTTGATATGCTAAATATTTTTTCACATAAAAGTTATACGCGGCAAGTTATAATGGAATACGTTTCAGAATTCATAAATTTGGTAAGTGTATGGAAAAACTACTCTGAAATAAATATTTTACATAAAACAATGAAATTGATTAAATGTGTGCGTCTCACTATAATATTTATGAAATACTTCTAATAACATTATACTGTCCCAATAGTTTTTTTGTTTTTAAAATAATGAAAATGTATCATATATTTTTATATAATTTCTATACTAATATCTTTATCTAATAAATTTATTCATATTTTTTATCATGAAATTGTATTTAATAAATTATTGAAATTTAAAAAAAAGGGGGAAAATTATAAATCGGAGCAAAACATTTAATTAATTATTTGCAGTCATTAATTTTTATTCCTGTATTATCCTGCATTAATAGTGAGGTAAAAAAAGTGGGAAAAAATTCAGCACCACTTTTCAAAATACTTTGCTTAAAATTCCCATGTTTAAAACAAATATTACAAAGAATGAAAATCGACAAGGCAAACACATTATGAGCCATGTAAATGTGAACTGAAAGCAGGTAAAAAGCTAAACCATTTACTCCAAACAATTATACTTTAACAAATCCAAACAGTAGAAAGCATATAACAATAGATATGAACAAATTAACTGGAAAATAATGACCTAAACTAGTTGAAAATTAATTAAAAAAAAGAAAAGGAGACTTAAACAGTGGGAAACTAGCAATAGGATTTTCATCAAAACTAATTTACATATAAAACAAGCAAGAATCAAATTATGTACTATAGCTTAGAGCACACAGAAGCTGACTTTGTGATGATATCAGAGATCATATGATACACACATCAAACACTGGTCAACAACAAGTGAATGTCTTTGATCTCTTCAAGGTGGCTTTTTGTCTGATTCACTCCTTCCACCTAATAAGGAGGTCTTGCTTAATGGCATATATAACTTTTCTGGTTATGCACCATTAACTCTACTACCAGCACCATCACTTAGGGTAAAAGGCCGTGTTGTGCTTTAAGTAGTATGGCAGAACACGTAATCGACAACAGTCTCACCTTAGGTTACTTGAATATTAATTTTGTTTTTCATAGTTTTTATATAACACCATTCCTGATTTTTCTCTTTCAGAACGAAAAATGGCGGACGAGAATTCCAGATCTAATCCTGTATCTAGTCTCCTTGGGTACAAATCCTTAGATGATAATCAACAAAATGAAATACGAGAGCAGCATATTAACCCAGCATTTGAAGATAATGAAATTCCTTATATTCCTTCATTAAATGGGAATTCCCTTGCTTATTCCTTAGAAATACCAAATCCTAGGTAGGCATCGATATTTTTATTTAAATCATATTAAGTATAGTTTATTTAAATCATGTTTAGTAACAAAATTTAAAGGTTTGCATATGGTGGTATATCTTATAAATTATTGTATTCTAGATGTACATGGTGTACATTTTAGATGATCATAGTTCACAGTTTTCAACCTAGCCACCAGTAAAGCAGTAACCTTTCACTCTTTTGTGTCATTTCTTGCATTTTGTTATAGATGAAATACTGCAATATAAAAGCTATAATTTTAGTTCATATGTAAAATAAAACTTATAAACTATAACTATTCATAAACTTTTTCGTATGTAAAACTAAGATATTGTTGCACAGATATTTTTTACTCTTAAAGGCTTTCCTTCATGTTTTTAACTGTAAAATATTATTTTTTCCCTCTCAAATAGCATTCATATTCAAACCAAAAACTTCTGAAAATGTTATTCTAAATTAATTTCATGAGCACTAGGCTGTATTTTCAAGTAATGCATGTATCAAAGAAAAATATGATTTTTAATTGTTATTGGTTACAATGTCTTGAGATTTTAAATACTGTTTGTATAAGTATTATTATTATTTTAATCACTGTTACATGTAACTTCCTGTAATATTTAAAAAAAAAAAAAAAAAAAAAAGTAGGTAGTAAACTTAAGTATATTATCTTTCTTTACTAACCCTAATTATATTTTAATTCATGGGCATTTGTTTCATTCTCTGTATATTTGTAATTATAAAAATAATGATGCATTGATCAATAGACTTTGGATCAATTTCACTTGAATTTTTTTTCCCGCCAGGATGAACAAGTGTACCGAGAATGGTGCTTATATTGAAAGTTACTTATCACCACCTATTCCACCATATTTTGATGGCCATGCAAAGGAGTCTAATATTTCTATAATGAGTAATCAGTTTACTAATGATTTAGGGTTAAAGGGTATCCCTAAATTGCCTAATGGATTACATGAAGAGGATTCAGGGTCAACAAAGTAAATATACTTCTTAACTTTTTCCTATTACATAATAACTAAATTATAATATGTCTTTATTTTGCAACATCTGAATGACTACATTTTTTAATATACTGCACATGAAAAAATGTAGTAAAGAAGTAATCTGTTAATTACTTTATATAACTTTTTCCTATTTAACTTTGTTTTCGAACTGTATGTCTTCAGCAGCAAAGCTGTAGAAAATTTCCAAGAATTTTAAAGAAATTTAAATTGTACAGAGTATTAATAATCATATAATGGGCACTAAAGTAGCAAAGTTTTAAAATTTAAAGCATTATAATATTAAAATTTTTCAGTGGTTATGTAATTTGTTTATTTTTATGTTGAGCTGTGCCTGAAAAGTTGATTTAATTTATGAAACTTGAATTTTTGCATTATTTTAAAGATGCTATTTTATAATTTTTTTTTTTATTTAGCCCCTCCCTTCCTGCACACATTGTATATAAATAAAAACAACTTTCACTTAAATATGCGATACCATGAGACAATGAAACTTCATAAATATTGTTTTTAGATCTATCAATCCATGTATTCACTCAGGTCACTTAAGATAGATGTTGAATGTTTCTATTTAATTTATTGAATATTATTATTTATCAGATTTTTACCTGAAAATTAGATTTTCTGATGTCAAATGATTCACAATATGCAGGCATTAAATGTTAGAGTAGGGCTAATCTACTAAACTTATAGTAAGACATGTTTTAATAACAGTTAAAATAAGTATTAAATTGTTTACCCAGCTACAAATAAATAATTATTACCACTAAAATGATATGTCTTGAATATCTAAAAATGTGTTTTGATAACTTATTATGTAATTAAAGATCTGGAAATGTTCAGTGATGTTTTGTATGTTTTAAACTTATTTAAACTTACCATTTCTAGCATCACATTCCTTGTAAGATTTTTGTTGTCAGACAAAATATCAAAATTTCTAAATATAATTTTGTTGTCAAGCAAAATATTTAAAATGTAAGTTTCTAGACTCTGCTTTCCTTTGTTTTATAGCTTTCCTCATTTCCAAGATCTGTATAATTAATCAAGAATTGTACTTTTATTATCACTAAAATTACTTTTTGCAAATATTAAAATACGTTGTTAAAATTTGCAGTGCTGGATGAATGAACTATATTCATTCATTGTTGATATGGATAATTAAATTATAAAAAGTTATATTTCAACTATATAACAAATAAAAAATTATTTATGTATTAATTTTTTTATTATGACCATTTTTTTGTTTTTTAGGGAGAAAAAAGAAAAAGATTCCGATGATGATTCTGTAACTCCTACCAGTTTTTTAACTTTGGTGAGTATTTTTAAGGTCAGGCTCTGGCATATCTCTGTTATTTTGAAATGTTGATTTCTATTTCTATGATACTAAATGCTATGTGATTTTTATTAATCTTTATTATGTTTTGAATTTTTATATATTGAAATTTATTTCTAACTTCACTTCATTTTTAATGAAACTGTGCATGCTGTCAATGTTTATTAGAAACAGAAGCAATGTTAATAGATGTATGCTGTGCATTAATGTTTAGATTATACATTTTCTTGTATTCAAACACTAAATTTGTTAGAATTCAAATGCTGAAACTGTTGTAAAATTAATGATCGTATTGTGATAACTTGCATGGTATAATTCATAAGTAATGCACTCTGGATATATAAAACTGTTGTAAAAATACTCATAAAAACTTTGGGCATGAAATATTTAAAAGTTATGCAATGCTTTTGTATTTATAATTTAATGTTTTAAAACTAATAGTTCCTGAGAAGTTCAAAATTATACATTTTATAGACTTCTTTAATGAAAAGGTAGACTAGGAAAAAAAAAAGAATCATTGATATAAATTAGAGATATTTAAAATTTTCTAATATGTTACATAATTTGGAATTTTTAAATATTTGGTATTATAGAAATATTGAAGTTTTTTACCTGTGTCATTTCTTTTTTCAATTAAATTTAGAATGTTAATAAATTTTTTTAAAATTGAAATCTAAAAATTTCAGATTAGAGTCTAACACTTCAAAGAATTTTCTGCGGAAGTTTACTAAAATTAAAATAGAAGCATCATAGATTAAAAGAAATTGCTATCTAATCTTGGCATGCAGATGTTAATTTAATGCCTGAAACAAGTTTAAGAAAGCAGTTATGATACGCCTTCTACTTTAGGAGTTTGTGCCCTAGAAATTGAAGAGCATAAAGTGTAATATTTAACCTTTCAGCATGTGCGCTTGGTAATTTTCCAGTATGCGTGCATCGTATTTTTTATGACATCCATTATTTTACCGTTTTTGGCAGGAAAAACGACAGAAATGAGTAAATATTGACAATAAATTTGTTAAGAAATAAAATATTAATCTTATTATTGCAAAATACAAATAATATCACATTCAAATATAAGTAAATTATTTTTAAGTTCTTATGTTAGTGAGATGGAAATGCAATGATATATTTCATTATAGAAAACTTTAAATTTATTATTTAATATCGAAGCTAATTTTAATATTCATCAAAGACAAGTAAAGACAATAAAAAAGGGAAAACACCTTGGTAGGAAAAAAAGTAAGTTTAGCATTACTTACAAGGAAAGCAAGGAAATTTATTTCTTACTGGTTACAAAAACACACTTTAAACTAACTTTAATGTTTTTATTTATTAGTAAAACATAGAAAATAAAAGAAAATAAGGAATGGAAATCACTATTGTTCTCCCATCCAAAGGTTTCCTTGTCTTCCTTTTCTTCATTAGATAATTCTTGAAGAATGCGAGCAAAATCAGCTGGTTGCACATACTTGTTTGCCATGAAAACCGATATAAAATTTACAGACCCAAATGTATTCAAATTAAAAATAATACATGGCAATTAATAACACAAAATTACAAAATATTTGAGAAATAAAATATTTTCCGAATTTTAAAACACAACCATGCGCATGTCGTAACTTTTATGAAAAAGCTGCCACATAGCAAAAAGCCCAGTTAAAAAAAAAAGTCAAATGACTTCCTGTTGACACATTCCATGATGTGGGGAAGGGTAGAAAGGAGGAATAGAAATGACCTTTCAGATGTCTCAGCTTTGATATGCGAAAAATGTGCCTTAAAAACATAATTTTTCATAAATTTTCCGCATATGCGCATGCTGGAAGGTTAAAATTGGCTATTCAGAATGACCAAGTTAGAGAAACAAGAGATGAAAGGGAAGAGAAACATCCTAGTGTTCTTTCGTGGCAAATGACTACCACATGGACACATGCATTTATTTGATTTTAAAAATAGGGGGAGATTATTCAAGATATAACTGTGCATTTATTTCACTGGATTGCTTACGTATGAGGCTTGCAACAAATATTTTTCTCAGATGGCAATACTTTCTATTTTGCTAGGACATCAAACTGTTTACAAAACACTGTAAATGCCTTAAAGAGTTCTCTTTATTTCCTGATATAATAAATGTCATGTGCACATTCAGAACACAGAATTTCAACACTTCATAAGTATGGAGCTCTCATTATAAGTTCAAATGTACTTCTTAAAGATTGAAATTTTTTTATCTAACCATATTTTTTTAATTAAACAATTACATAGTTAAAAGGAATTTGAGATTAAAATTAAAGATATCCATTTCTCTTGAAAACATTGATAATCTGAAATCTCTAATTAAAGTAGCAGAATGCACTACATTATACAAAAAAAGTTTCTATTTAAATGTGATTTAATCACTTATTTAAATTTAATATAAAAGATGAAAGAAAAGCAACTGATGTGACGAAAATTTTAACAACGATATTTTTTAGAGGAGTTCATAAAAATATTGCTAATTTTATTTTTAATAATGCATGATTGAAATCTTTGAAGTAAATTAAATAGTTTAATTGGTTAATATTTCATCTGTATATGGAAAAAATAGTATATAAGTATAGTTTAATAATCTTTGAAAGTCTGTATATTGAAATATTTGTATGAATGACCTTCATTCTGGGAAGAAATTTTTTCCAGGTTTGTTCATCCTACACAATATCAACAATGTGCTTTTTCTTCTATAATAATTGCAATTTAGCCATGGCTCCAGCATTTTCAGTATGCTAGGCAATCAGTCCTTTTGTCAGCTCATATAAATTAAGCATATTAATAAAGAAAAAGTGAAATATACCCTTATTTAGTTAATATTTCAGGAACAATTTAACTGACACCTTTCAAAATTCACCATCCTAGGCAATTCAATGTTGCCCATGTTCAGTTTTCACTTGAAAATTCTCACATTATTATTCTAACAAGGTTTAATAACGATTTGTAAGTTCATATTTATATTATTTAAAAGTAGTGAAACAGGTTTCAAATGGAAAAAAAAAATCATTTAATGCCATTATAAAAAGAATGAAATTAATTAATTGCTTCTTTTAGGCATTGAGTAGTTTTAGTTTACCCTATATTTTACATAAATGAGCCTCACGTGGCTCCCGAGCCACATTATGGCCATACCAGCTATGTACATATATACATATAATGACGGACATATATATGTAATGATAGCACATCATATTTGAATACTCGACGATATCTAATACTATTTTACAGAAATCTAACTGGAGAATAAATATTCCATTGATGTTAGTAGCACGTAATTTAATCCTGTTAGGCTAATTAATGTAATAAAAGCTCAAATTTGGGAAGCACTGATGTAAGTACATTAAGATGTAGAAGCGTAAAAATACTGATGGCGTAGATACTTGATGCTTAGAGTGTCCATCCATTTTGAAGAAGAAACAGTCGAGACGGATTAAATTCCATATTTATTTAAATTCACTTTTGTGGCAACAATTCACTTGGCACTCCAATCGTGCCTATTTCCAGAACATTTTTTATACTATGGCAATGGAAGCGAACATAGATGATAGCAGAAGTGTCTTAACAGGATGAAAGCATAAGCGAGAAGAGAAAAAGAGTGTCGTAGTAGTAATGTAGAGGAAAAAGGGAGGTAGTTAAACAGTTTTGCTTTACAATTTAATGATTGGTCAAGAGGCATTTGCATTAAGCATTACGTAAAATCGCATAATTAATTTAAATGACTCAGTTTAGACCTATGGCATCATTACCAAGACAGAGAGAGGAATTCCCCAAATAAAGTGAAAAACAAAAGAGGTCACAGCCAATTAAAACCAGAAGTTTGCCTTCATATTTTTTATCTTACATACATATAGTTGACATAGATTTATTTTATTTAGATTTTCATTCTTTTTCATATATAAACTAGTTTTTGCTTTATTGAACTTGCGTATTATTAAATCAACAAAACAGAAAATTTTAGTTTATTTAAACTGTTCAAACTGAAAATCTTTCCCCCCCCCACCCTTTTAAATCTCACTGATAGAGAGGGAAAGTGAAAAAAAAATTAAATATTAAAAAAAAAAGTTTTTTTTGTTAGATGATTTATCTTTTATTGTTATTTGCCAAAGTTTTCATCTTCTTCTAATATTTATAGAGCTCCGATTAGGACAACACAAATTGATACAAAGAAAATTTAAATATAGTCTTATTGTACATATTAAAGGGAATTTACTAACATAAAGGATTCATGTAAATACATCATAATATATAACATATGTATGTTCAAAATGTACAGGTATATACATAGTATTAAATATGATATGTTTTATAAACATGAAACCATGCACCTGTAATGCAGATGAGGCACATATCACGCATATTTAAAAAAAAAAAAAAAAAAAAAAAAAAAAACCGTAACAGTCTTCTGTTTAATTGTGCTGCCTCATTTACTTGCCTTCTTATTGAAAAGATGTCACAACATCATAATGTCGGCTGGCAACATGTCGTATTGCTGTTCAGCATACAGCTGTCATGATAGTGATAAGGAGTGTGCCCTATGTGTCTGCCGTTAAATATGGCAACCCTAGGTAGAAGCGCAGAGAGTAGAACAGAGACAGCTGTTCAAGGAGTAGTACGCATATTTGAAGTCTTGAAATAAAGATAAGTTTTTACTGTGTAATAAGTCTGCTGAAAGTTCTTGATGGATACAGTGAGAACGTTTAATGTAATATGAGTAACTAGAAACCTGTGGGATCTAGAGCCATTACCACATTGGTGATCCGGACGTGATTTGAACACGCAACCTTTCTACAATCATTACCACAGAGTAATGCCTTTTCGATCATGCTCAGTCTGTGTGGCTGATCTTCGTTTGAACAATTCCTGTGTCTTCATCATTAGAACTTTCATTATGTGTGACTTAAATTTACAATGGTCTCATCAAACAGTTTAAATTGTTCATCATTTTGCATCGAGTCATTGATATCTTTATTCGTTACTGCCTCTATAACTTGTATCTGGTTTAAGATAGCTAATTCTTTATCATCTGCTTCTTGAGTTTGTGTCATTCTTGTGTCATCATCAGTCGATGAAATATTTTCCCACCTTTTCAGAATGATAGATTATTTCATGTTGTTTCATGATTCTCCCAGCCAGTAAATGACATCTTTCAGACTGTGTTAGTTTTCAACTAACTGTTTTGTTTTTTTTTTTATATTTTCTAATAAGTGTTTCAAGAGCCTGTGTTTATCAGTTTCATTTTAGGTATTCTAAAACTGCTTATGCCAAAGGCTGAATCAAGGTGTAATGCCAGGGGTTACAAAAATAGCCCAGATCTCTCCACTAAGAATTCCAATGACATTCCACCAATCAGCTGGGAGCATTGTCTGAAATTAAGACTGCCTAATGGGGCAAATTTTTTTCATCTGAAAAATCGCCTAACACTTAGTACAAACTCCTCATGGAACCATGACTTGAATACTGTTGAATCTATCCAAGGGCTTTTCTGATTTGTGTACTTTACAAGAAGGTTATCAACATTCATATTTTTAAATGTCCTTACCCCTATAAGTTTAAACTTATTATTTCCAGATTGGTTTACACAATCGTTACATGCCAAAACCTTTTCTTTATTTTGTTTATATTCAAGAGCTGAATGTCCTTGTTTTGATGCTAGTGTCTTTCTTGGCAACATTTTAAAAATTCAGCTCCATTTCTTCACAGCTATGACTTTGCTGTGCCCCCCCCCTTTTTTTTTTCTTCTTTTTTTTTTCTGAATGGTATTATCTAATTTGTTAATAAAGAAAGTCGCTGTACCTGAGTTAGCAGACAAATATCTCCTGCAATGTTTAATTGTTGCACGTCTGTGACAATGCCCTCTTGTTTAAACTATTTATTATTTTTTACAATGATCAAGTCAACCTTTGCTGATTCCTCATCATCATGCTTTGAAATGCTGAAAAAGTCCAAAACCTTACCTTATGATATCATATCAGATAGCCCTTCTCTCTCGTCTGCTGAAACCATAATAACAGCAGATCTGATTTCATAATAGGTATTTTTTATTCCTTTGCATTATCATCTTCAGTTGCATGTGCACGGGAGTCATCCATTTTTCACTTTTCTTTCTTTTCCTTCTACTGTCATCAACTGTCACTTCATCAATGCCTAAACAACTACCCACTTTTTTAAACATTTCACATTGATCTAGCCTGTTACATGCAGCAAACTTTTTCTAGTGATAAAACCGCATGTTTTCTTCTATCAGTCATTTTTCAACTGTGCTATGTTATTGCAAAACTAGCTACATACTCTGACTCCAGGGCAAAAACAAAAACTAACTGATTTTTTTATTCAAAGTGTACAAGAATCTAGGCTGTTAAGTTCAAAGTAGTAATGATGGAGTTCTTATTTCTGTTGTTTGAATTAAATTAAATTGAAACTCAAGTCTACATATTGTTTATCTTTATGAGTGAGGCTATTTTAACTTTCTTTTATTATTATTTATTGCATTTGGCTCAGGTAACACAGAACCTCAATTAATCAAAACTCGATTAATTGGGATTCTACTGTACTATCTTTATTATTTAGCCTTAATAAATATTGTTCATGACAGATGGTATTCATCAAGCATATAATATTACCTAAAGTAAGTAAAATCTCTATCCAATTTGTTTAACCCATTTTTCTAAGTTATTAAATAAAGGAAATGATTAAACTACACTTTTGCTGTAAGTGTTTTTAGGTTTCTCAAGTGTCTTTTTAAATAAAGTAGCATTTGCTAAGAATTAAAAAATATCTTTTTTCATTATAACGCTATTAAATTTCATATCATTTGAAAATGTTAATCAGCATAGAACACAGCATTACTTTAAAATTTTATTCACAGTTAATGTGATTTCAAAGGAATGAAGATAGGACACCATATTTAAAATGATATGTAAAAAAAAATAAAGTTAGACAAATTTCTTAGGCTAATCTTTGGAATATGGTAACAGGTAGTTTGGCGACATTTTGGTAAGGCGATAAAGGTTACTACCTAGGACTTTAGCAGTGTACATGCATAAAGTTGAGTGTGCGCAATGCCATTTTTGTGCAATTCTGGGATGTTTTTTTAAGTGAAAATAGGTCGATGTGTACATGGATACCGTGTATGTGCAATTCTTAAAAACGCGGCAAGCAGTGGGCGATTCTGCACTTTCTCCCAATTTCGCACCTAATCTTCGTCATGACTAAGCACTTTTGTTCCATAAAAGTTCTAGCATAAGCGTAATTCGGCTAGCAGATTGTTGGAAAAAAATGTTGAGTAAAAAAAAAAAAAAAAAAAAAAAAAAAGCCTTTACTTCGTGAAAACAAAATGGTGTCAAAAAACTAGCAAGTTTCTGTAGCAGGGTTTGTCGCCAAATAATCACCAAGTTACCATAATCCGAAGATTAACCATTTCTTATTTTGAGGTGAGGATAGTTCAGCCAAATGTATATAAATTTGAGGCAGTGGGGATTCTGATAATTTATTATTTTACTCAAAGTTCCTGGCTAAAATCCTGCAATTAAAAATACCAAATTTAAAAAAATAATATATTTAAATTAAAAGTACCATATTATGAAAATTAATTGGTATTTTTTTATTAATAGGATGCCAGTCATAATTGTGCACTAAATGTGGTACCCTGTTTAGTTAATCTTACAAGCAGCAATTGATCTCATTACAAACAAACAGGAAGAATGATCATCTATCTTAGATTTTTATTTTGACATTTCTAGATTTTTCTTTTGTATGCATTGTTTTTGTTATTAAAGTTGTGTGGTGGTGTTGAAAGATTCCCCCCCCCAAAGAAAGAATCTAAATGGATTACACAGTTTGATAATTATGAAATGAAGATGAATTTCAATTAATCTTTTTTCCAAAGCAGCAGTATTGTTTATACAAGACTTCTGTAGGAAAACCAGAAAATGAAATTGTATTTTACTATTACTACAACTATTGAATCAGTAAGTACTGCTGCAAAAAATCGTCTTGAAAAAAGAAGGGAGTTTACAGAGCAGATGCTGGTTTAAAGATTCATACGTACCTTTATTAATAAATATTTGATTTATTTACTTCTGTTATCAAGAATTCACATGTTTAGAATTCTGCCAACTGCAGGCATTTATTCGAGCAACTACAGGCATTTATTATGTATCATTTTCTTATTTGTGACTTTTAAGTGTTTTGTCTTTGTTTTTTGGATTTAATAAAATAACCTTTCTTTTTATAAAGTTGTATGTGTTGTCAGGGCAATCATTCCTGTCTTACACCAACATATTTCACACCAAAATTTATGTCTGGTGTTGGTTTGGTGTTTTTATATGTGATGTTTTATGTTTATGTTTAGTATTTAGCGTTTCAAATCCATAGAAATATCATAATATCATAAATGTAACCATAGAAATTAGGTCTAAATTTGGTGCTAAATTGCACCTTGTTATCCAAAAACTAAAAATTAATCTTGGAAGTAAAATATTTTTGAAAAAGAAAATTTGATTAACTGTATATATATTTATATTTGGCACTCATTAATCAACTTTGTTTAGGGCTTCAAAACACTTTTCCCTTGACAAGTTCTATTTGAAGTGTTAAACAAAAAGATTATAGCTTTTATTACTTTTGGTTTTGGTTATATACAAATATCATGTGTTTTATATGATTTTACTCCTTAAGTGAACATTATTTGATTCCAATTTTGTAATTTTCTTTAATTTGCATACTACCAGTTTATAATGTAACCCATAGAAATTAGGCTATCCTAAAATTTTTAATGCACGATATTATTCTTTTTCGTTTTGATATTATATATAAATCAATTTCAGTTCTTATTTGACTTTCATTTAGTAAATTTACTAGTAAATTTTTAAGAAGGGATTTTTTATGAACCATGTCATACTAATAAATTATTTCAATTCCTCAGTTTAGGTATTCAAGTAGTATTGACAAAATTTTAATATTTTTTGGCTGTGTGATTGCCATGCTTTCCGGGGCTGCTCTGCCAACTATAATGGTTCTGTTTGGCAATATCCTAGATGCTTTTGTTGACCATCATAGAATGCAAAAGAATCTGACGTCTTTTGATCCTACAGATTCTAATCTGTAAGTTACATTTTAATGTTGATTTTGTAAACAACTTTAAAGTTTATATACATTGAAATCTGCTTGTTTTAATGGGTATGATTTTCTCTGGCAATATAGGAGATCCGTTTATTTTGTTATTCTAATTATTTAATTTGTATGCTTAAAACATATATTTTATTTTAATTTAATATTGTAGCTTTTTAAATGCAGTTTCATCAGATTGAATATTTTTTCATTATAAACATTTGCATTTATAATGTTTAAGGTAATGAATCTGTTTTCTTATTTATGTACTGAAACTGCACCTAATATATAGGTTGGTGAGAGAGGTAGTCTGTAATTTAAGATAAAATCTTTGCATTTTTTCAAAATGTAGTTCACTATCATGAAATGAAAGCCAAAATTTTTATAATGACATATCCACTTGGCTAAGCCAGCCTTATGGTGTTGTCCCTCTTAAAGATTCTATGGACATATATAATAGAGCTTCATTACATTGAATTAGTTATCAACGTGCAAGTTGAAATTAATGTTAAATTTTCTTAATAAGTTGAATTTTTTATTACTTGAATTTTTTTTTTCCTGTTCCTTTCAATATTATCTTGTGGAAATGCATTTGTATCCAAAAAATAATCAGAAAGAGTAATAGATTACTAAAAAAACAAAATATTCTTCAGAATTAATTTGCTTTCAGCTGCAAAATGAATTATTAAGAAAATTTTCATATAATATCTTTTTGCTTGATGCATATCTGAAATTTCAATAATTTCCATGTGGAGGCAGATAGCAAATTCCCCAGCAACCATTATCAATGGGTTTTTTATGGAAATATTCATTTATGATGAATTTGTTATTGTGTTATTAAAGTGTGTATTATTGTTAAAGTGTATTTGCAAAATACATTTTAACAATAATAGGAGGTTCTCTAGAACAGCAGAACAGCTGCTTAGTTAGCTATAATAAAACGTGTAAAATTAAGGTTTAAGAAATAAATTTTGAAGAAAGAAAGAAAGTTTGTGAAACACTCATTTGCCAAGATGATAGGAAGATAGTTCTTGAAAGGAAGAGAAGATCAACATAAAATGTGTATTTGGGTCATGCCTGATAAACATGGCTGAAATTAATAGATAAATGATGTTTATTAAATTAGTCTAAAAAGCAACATATTTTGAATTTTATGGAATTGGTTTTTGATATTAGAGTAGTTTTTGATGTCCATAACTTAGTCTTTATTATATTATAGTTACAATATGTATAGATATATAATACAGTTGTTAAATTAATTAATTAATTTTAAGATATATATTATTACTATATATTCTAAGATGTATAATATACTATATTACTTTATGCAGTATATTTATGATTTATGTAATCTTACAAGTGTTGTTATTTGGTGAGGTATAATATCTGTCATGTATCATTTATGCAGTCTGACAAATTTTCTGCTTTCAGAAACATTATCATTCAATATAGGAAAAATCTTTCATTAATTTTTCAGAATAAAACTGTATGTTTCTGAATTAATTCAGCAGTTAAGAGAGAAAGCAAATTCTTAATAATTTAAAAATTTATTTTATTGTTGTTAAAATACCATCTACAGTAGAGACTTTCTAATTTTGGAAACCATCATATTATGCTATCAGGCCATTTTTCATTACATGACTTTTAAATGGCATATTTATTATATGATATTATATGACTTATTGTAGAAATTTTGCCATTCATAACTCAAATATCTTTAATTTACCCCTCATGATGCCTTTTAAATAACTGATTGACAAATTGGTATCATTCAGTGTATCATGAGGTCTTTAATTTATCATACAAATTGTAATTGTATTTATTTATCAGAATGAGTGATTAAAAAGCAGTAAACATGTTCCTTAATAATGATTTATATTATATTTATTTTATATAGTATGCACTATATCCATTTTATAATTTTAAGAGCTTAAAATTAGCAAAACAACAACCTTGTGTTAGGTATAGATATAATTCTCTGCCAAATGCATGTTGTTGTTTTGTCTAATTTCAAGTTTTATTTTGGATGGTTTTCTCTTCTCTAATAATTTTAAGAAAAATTTTATTGTTATTATATTTAATAAAAGATATTTCTAATGCCATTTATTAGATATTCAGTACAAAATAAAAGTTTTTTTTTATTTTTTAATATCTCTAACTTATGATTGTATATCTAGTTTATGTGGTTTATAATACACTTAACTAACAATTTTTAAAACATTTGCACCATTACTGTAATTAATAAAACTAGTTTCTAATACTGTATATTACATATAGCGGAACAGAGTAATTGTTTGTATTCCATTAAACAATATTTCAATTAAATAATGTGCTCTTGAAAATTTTAAAAGCTTTACTTATTCTGACCCACATAAAATAATATTAACCAAGCATTACAAAAATCTAACTAAATCTAACAAAACTGAGATTTTTGAATAAAATAGGAGCAAGTATTCAAGAACTTTAAATTACATTATAAATTTATATAATTTTGTTAGCATATCTATAAACTACTTCCATGTATATATGTTAGATGTGAATGCATGCAAGAAAAATTATATGTGTAAGCATATATTACTCTAAAGAACTGCTGTCACATACAGGCTTTGATCTACAATTTTTGGCATCCTAGACCAATATAATTCGTGCCCTGTATAAACAGACATATTAATAATTCAGAATGAAATATACCTTTATTTACCTAGCAGCTACTTAGCTGGTAGCTTTCGAAAATCTAGCCCAAGGTGATTTCCTGTGTGACCTATGCTTGAAACTGGCCCTGATCCATGTATACCAACGATGTCAAACTTGCGGCCCACAACAAATATTTTTGCGGCCCGGCCAATATATCGGCAAATAATAATATATAATAATAACATATCGACAAAGAAAAAAATGAAATGTTGCGGCCCACAACAAATATTTTTGCGGCCCGGCCAATATATCGGCAAATAATAATATATAATAATAGCATATCGACAAAGAAAAAAATGAAATGTTTACTGCTAAGTAATTAATGATAATTTATTCAGTGTTGTTAGATTACTCACAGCGAGCTAACATACACACTACTTAAATTACAAATGCGTGTGAGTAGCTTGCATTCAGCTACCTTCGGCTTTTGGGGGACACGTGTACTCAGAACTTGTACGCATCCCCCGATAGTCGAATGTGGCTGAACTCATGGTCTCAGTTTTCCAATCATAGTTTTGTACGATATATTGGTGCATGCATGTGCATGCACTTTGCTTTATTATTAATTATTACTTAATTCATATTGTTACGGATTTCATAGTTATTTATTTATTTAGTTTTTTTTATTTAGAATTGTAATTAGATTTGCTTCATGTTGCCTTAGCAACGCAGACGATTTTTGAAAAGACAGCTGCGTTGGAAGGTTTAAAAATAGAACAGCGCGTGCATTTAATACCTAATAAATAAATATCTCGTAATTGCTGTTGCCATCCACAAAAATCCAGATATTTATAGATGTTTCCAGTATATTCGAGAAATTAATTATAAAGCTTATAAAAGCCGAGAACAAACAACTCATCTCAGTAGTAGCTGTAGTTCTAGCGAACTGTTTGTTTACTTAATGCTGTGATTGATTTGTAGGGATTTCGCTGTGAGATAGAATTAGTTTCTCTGTTTTGAATTGATTTTTGCATTTTGTGACATTTCGTTTGACATTTTGTGATATTGTTAGAATATTTTTGAAGAAATATTTCAGCATTTTGATTTATCTCTTGTGGAAAGAATAAATTTTTGTTAACTTTTTAACGTTAACCGTGTTTATTCCAGCCCTTTGTATTCAGTATGTCTATATCAAAACCAAGTGGTAGTAAAATTAAACGAAAAATTGTATTTTTTGCGGCCCGCCTAAAGTTCTAGTATTTTTTGCGGCCTACCTAAAGTTAAACCTTGTTTGTTTGGCCCAAGTGTACCTATGAGTTTGACATCCCTGATGTATACAGTACAAAGTCCAAAATCCATATGTTCAGTGTTTGAAATGATCTAAAATGTGCACTATCAGCAGTATTGAGCTGTCCCGAGAAGTCCAATTCTTGAGTTATCTACTGTATATGTGTTGAAGCAGTTTTATATTTCAGTAATAGTTGGAGATTTTTTTGTACTGTTATAGATGCAATGTATAGTTTCATTTCTGAAGTTTTTATAAAATGAGTTTTTCCGCCCCGTCAATAAGAAGCAAAAGTAGGTGTTGCTGGAAAGTGAAGAAAAATTTGTTTCTTCTCTTTGAAGTGTTCTTCTGTGGAACTCCAATCTCATACAAGTGTTTCTTTCTTTTCTCTTAGTGTTATTTTTAAAATTTAAATTTTTTCTTCTTTTTTTTTACTTCCCTCCCGTAAGGATTCTTTTTGCCTATGATAAAGCCCATCAGATTCAAGAGATGACTTAATGAAAATGTAGCAGTATTTGTTTTCTTCAAAAATTTTCTTCTGCATTAGAAGCAGTAAGAAACTATTATGCATATTTTAAGAAGCAAAATAATTAAGTCCTGTATTATGTTAAAATAATTTTTTAGCATTTCAAAATAATGATTCTTACTGATTTTGTAAATTAGATTCTCATGGTATTATCTAGAAGGTATCTCATTTGCAGCATTCTCTGAGCTTACATTTAGATGAAACTACTTTCAATCTGCAAAAGTTACTAGTAATAAGTTTTCAGTTATATTATTTAATTTTTGTTAAATATTGTTAAAATGTTATCATTAATACTACTGTTTTTTGACTGTATTATAACTGCTTATTTGTTAAAAATTAAATAATATTGCAGATTTATCGTTAGTGTTATTAAGTAATACTATTTACATCATTAAGTAAAAAAACATTTCATAACAGAATATTAATATATTTGTTTGCAGGCTCTTGTTATTTATTGTTATTTGTTATTTATTTATTTATTGTATTATAATAACCTCGCTGGGTAAAGAAAGTAAATTTATAAAATCCATGGAGCTCAAAGAAATTCAGAAATCACTGAATGGTATCTTGTCTCCTAGCTGCTTAGAACAGTAACAAAAATAGGATATCGTTGGCTGTTTGCCCAAAATGATTACTTGGATTCATTTGTATATTATATTTTTATTAAACTATTTTGGATAATAGATTTTTCATTAAAATGTAATAATGTCTGAATTTAAAATTGTTTTATTATAAAAAAGTCGTAAATCACAAAAATTTAATGTTATTAAAAATTTTATTTTATTATTATTATTTTTGTTATTTTATGAAATCACTTTTGTAATAACTTTTTATTTAATTTTTCAGTATCAGTAAAGAAGATTTTCTTTCTCAAGTTGCCAACATGTGCTTGTATATAACAATTATAGGTTGTATTGTTTTCTGTTTCAACTACCTTATGGTTAGTTTCTTCAGTATGGCTGCAGCTAATCAAGCTTTTAAAATCCGCTGTATGTTTATGAAATCTGTTCTAAGACAAGATATTGGCTGGTTTGATACCCATCAAACTGGTGATTTTGCTAGTCGTTTAACTGGGTAAGAATGTTTTTTTCAATTTCAAACAGATTTGCTAGTGGTAATAGAACACTTTTTGTGTATGATAGTTTAAAATGTAATGTGCATTATATATTATTTTATATTGAGCAAAAGGTATTTTGTTATTTAAGCTTACTGAAATACATGTTAAAAGAAAATTAAGATGATTTTATTAAAAATTTCTTGAAACTTTGTATGATTCTCAATATATTTTATATCTGTAATATTTAATATCAGTGAAATTTTTCAGTCTTTAAATTTTTAAATTTAATCTCTAATTTCAAGTTTATGTTATTTTCACTGAAACACAAGTCTTTTCAGTTTTCAGTTTATTTATCAGCTATTTCTATCGGGTTTTAACAAAAGTTTTTTGCCACTGCAAATATTGTCTGCAAAAATAATTCATGTTGGCATGTTTAATCATATTTTGTTAAATGATTTTGGCATCTGAAAGAAAGGAACTTGCTTTAAAACACTATATTGTTAAATTTGTGAAAAGAATGTCATTATCATTAAATACAAAGTGTTTGAAATGGAACTATGCTACCAGATTAGAAACATCATTTACTTCCTATTTTGTTGCAAAAAGTCAGCTACATAATGTCACCAAATCATGTGTACAGCTGTAGGTACTAATGTTGTGTCATATAACACTGGGTACATTTGGTACCGAAAGTTCAAAAACAAGGAGTATGACATTCAAGAAGCAGAGCTCTCTGGCCGGCCTACTGATGTTGATGAGGCCTGTTTGCAAAAACTGTGGAAGAAGATAAGTGTGCAACCACTCAAGAGCTTGCTTAGGAGCTTAATGTTAGTGCCATGTTCATTAGTCACGCTATGCATAGCATAAACTTACATGTTCAGTCACTGGATGCCACATGAGCTGACTCAAGCAGATAAGGACAGATGTGTTCGTGGCTGCACTAATTTGCTCGAATATCAACACAATGACAATATTCTGGACCAAATTATCATTTATGATGGAGAGTGGATTTACTTCAACAACACAAGCCGAACAGATGGTTGGTCTGCGCTTAGTGAGCCCATCAGCAGCATTGCAAAGCACAATTTGTTTAACAAAAAAATCATGCTTTTTATGTGGTGGGATTGCCGTGGTATTGTCCACAAAAGTATCTGGAAAAAGGTAAAACCTTTGACAGTAAGGTGTACTGTGAGATGCTAGTCCATACTGAGTTCCAGTCCAAAAAGGTAATGTTCCATCAAGATAATGCAAGATCTCATGTGTCTGCATTCACTGGTTGGACTCTGTACAGACTCAAATGGGATCTTTTGCCATACTCACCACATAACCTTAACATTGCTCCTTTGGGCTTCTATCTTTTTCAGACCTGCAGCTACATCCTGCTGGTGCTATTTTCCATTCTGCATAGGATGTCTGAAATCTGTTTTTGGACCCACAGCCATCACACAGCCACCAAGTTTCTGGGCCAAAGGCTTTAAAAAACTATCAAAACATTGGCAGAAATTCATAAATTTAGGAGGCGATTATTATTCACACTAAAAGTACTTCTTTGTTTTTTTTTTCTAACTTTATTTACCTTTTTTTTGGCTGAAAACTTTTGTTACAACCAGGTATATCATTCATGCATTCAAACCTTCATTTTTGCCCTAATTTATTTCTGTTATATATGTAACTGTTACTGTATCTATTATTATCTTTAACTATAACTGTAATATAGTATAATAGATGAGTAATGTAGAATAAACGATGTTTGTGTACATCTTGTAATCATCACTGAGCACGTACCCAACACATATAAAATACAACACATGGTCCAGCTCCTCGTTGATTAAAAAAGAAAATCTTTTTTGAAGAACCATGCAGCCTTGGTAAAGATGTTCTAAACAAAAACATCATGAGAAGTTATTTACTGTGAAATCGAAACTTATATCCCTGGTAAGTGAGTTGTTTATTTTTATTGGAAGTGGCTAAAAATACGTATATATAAACTATTTAAAGTCCTAAATTAAATATAGATGGATTAAAGCCACCAAGTAATCTAAGTTTCGAAGGAAATTTAAGCGAAAATTGGAAGAAATGGAAACAAAAATTCCAAATTTATATGTTAGCGTCTGGTGGTATTACTAAATCACCTGAAATTAAAGTAGCTATTTTATTGCATATAATTGGTGAAGAAGCACTTGAAAAATTTAATACTTTTAATTTAAGTGAAGAAGATAAGAAGGATGTTGACAAAGTAATTGAAGCTTTCGAAAATTTTTGCATACCTAAAGCAAACGAAAGTGTTGATAGACATATATTTTTCTGTCGAACACGACATGTAGGTGAATTGTTTGATGATTTCTTAACCGATTTAAAGAAATTAAGTAGCAACTGCGGATTTGCAGAATTAAAAGATAGTTTAATAAGGGATAGAATAGTAAGTGGAATTCTAAATAAAAATCTCAAAGATAGATTATTAAGGGAAGATCAGTTAACATTGGAGAAATGTATTAAAATGTGTAAAGCTTCTGAATTAGCAGAACTTCAGCTGAAAACTTTAACTGAAGAAAATAAAATAGAAGCTATCAAATGTAATAAATTTCGACCTTCAGAGGAAAAAAGTCAGCCTTGTAAGAAGACTTTCATGTAAAACAAAGCAACAAAGTACTAAATCTTCTTCAAACTATCAAGAAATAAGTACAATAATCCAAAACCATGTAGAAAATGTGGAACTTTTCATAAGTTATACAACCTGCCCTGCTTATAATAGATTTGCTTGTACTGTAAAAAGAAAAATCACTTTCTAAAATGTGCACTTTTAAAAATGTTAATGTTGTACAGAATAATTTAGAGCATGAGTTACATAATAATGGTAATGAATATATTTTAGGGTCAGTAGAAGATATAAATCCATTTTCTAAAATAAAACCGAATGGTTTGAAAAACTAAAAGTAACATATCTAAATATTTATTTGTTAAGTTGGATACTGGAGCTCAGTGTAATGTGCTACCATTGCCTAATTTAAGAGAGAGAAGTGTTTGACTAAATCAAAAGTCACTTAAATAATTACAATGGTACTACAATTGAGTGTTGGAAATGTAAATTAGTTGAAACATCGAAAGGGGACAAGGATGAAATAGAATTTCAAGTCGTGCATGATAAAACTGTTCCAGCTATTTTAGGTTTCCCTACATTGCAAAATTAAACCCAATACAAAGGATTTGTACAGTAAATCCTGATTCTAATGAAAGGTTACCAGAACCTTTTAAAAGGATATCAAGATTTGTTAAAGGACTGGGAATTTAACTGGATATACATATCATATTAAATTAAAACCAGGAGCTGTTTGGTAAAATAGAACCCTGTAGGAACATTCCACTTAGCTTATTAAATCCATTAAAAAAGGAATTAGCAAGACTGGAAAAGATGGTATTATAAAGAAAGTTAACCAACCAACAGAATTCGTGAATTCATTAGTGGTAGTAAGGAAAAGGGATGGAAATTTAAGAGTGTGTTTAGATCCTCAGCACCTTAACCAAAATATACTGAGAGAACATTATCACATACCAACCTTTGAAGAAATTTCATCTCAAATGACAAATGCGAAGATGTTTAGTATTTTAGATGCAAAGCATTTTGGCAAATTAAACTGTTAGATTCAAGTTGCTAATACTCATTTAACACGGTTGGTAGATATTGTTTTTGAGGTTGCCATATGGATTGAGTTCATCAACCAGAAGTTTTCCACAGAAGTTTTTCTGAAATCTTTAGTGATTTAAAAGGCGTTCAAATATATATCGATGACTTATTAGCTTGGGGAAAAGATAAAAAAGAACATGATTTAAGATTAAAGAAGTTGTTGGGCAGAGTCAGAGAAAAGAATGTTAAATTTAGTTTCAATAAATGTAAATTTAGGCTGAAGAAGTCAAATACATGAGACATATATTTTCTAAAGATGGTTTAAAACCAGATGAATACCAAAATACACACTTAACGCTATTCTAGATATAAAAACAACCAAAAAGTATCAAATAATTCGAAATTTTCCTAGGAATGGTTACATATGTTTCTAGATTTATACCTAGTTCAGAATTGACATCATGTTAAGCGATTTGTTGAAAAAAATTATCTGGAACTGGATGCAACACATGAAAAAGCATTTAGAAGACTAAAGATGTCTTGGTAAAAACCAGTTTTACAGTATTATGATATAAACTTGCCAAGTTTTATCTGTAGATGCATCTCAAGAAGGACTAGGAGCATCTTACAGAATAATTTACCATGGCATTCTAAGGCATTAACAGATACACAGAAGAATTATGCTCAAATTGAAAAGGAAACTTTAGCTATTATTTGCGTGTGAGAAATTTCACCAATATATATTTGGGAAAAAATATTACTGTGGGAAAGTGATCATAACCACTTGGAATCAATTTTTAAAAAGCCATTAAATAAATCTACAAAAATGCTATAGATTACAGCCATATCAGTTTGAGATAAAATATAAACCAGGAAAAGAACTTTTTAGCGGATGCTTATCAAGATCATTCACTGATAAAGGATCTGATTTCTTGAAGGAGGAAATAGAAGCTCAATGTTGGATTAGTTGTAGAATGTATACCAATGTCTAATGGTAAAATGGAAGTTTTTCAACTGGAAACAGAAAAAGATGAAGAACTACAAGTTTTAAGAAAATTAATTAAAACTGGATGGCCAGATGAAAAGTGTATGGTTCCAGAACTGCCAAAACCATATTTTAACTTCAGAGAAGAACTGTCAGAAGCAAATGGATTAATATTTAAAAATTCCTGTGTTGTTGTACCAAGAAGTTTATGAAAAGATATGTTAAGCAGAATTCATTATGGTCATTTAGGAGTAGTAAAATGCAAGATCAAAGCAAGAGAAATATTATATTGGCCAGGAATGTCCAAAGAAATTGAAGATTTGGTACTGAATTGTCAAAAATGTTTAAGTTTACAAAAAGCTAATACTAAAGAACCAATGATATCTAAAGAAATACCTAATGGTCCATGGGAAGTATTGGGAACAGACCTCTTTTACTTTCAAGGAAGGGATTATCTAATAGTTATAGATTATTTTAGCAAATATGTTGAAATTGGACATTTGGAAGATTTGTCAAGTGTAGCAGTGATAAAGCAATTGAAATCAATTTTTGCAAAGACATGGTATTCCGAAAATAGTATATTCGGATAATGGTCCACAATTATAATTGCAGGAAATATAAAGATTTTGCAAGAAGATGGAATTTGAAACCAGAACTTCAAGTCCAAAATACCCACAGTCTAATGGAATGGTTGAAAGACATATTCAAACTGTCAAGCGAATGTTAGAAAAAGCTGTAGTTGACAACAAAGATCCATATTTAGTTTTACTGGAATATCGTAACTCTCCTATTTCAGATGAAATTAAGTCACCTTCTGAATTGATGTTTGGAAGAAAAGTAAATGGATTGATGCATATAAAAGAGAATTTCATCCAAGCTAAACAATATGAAGACCATAAACAACACTTACTGAAGAGACAAACCTTACAAAAAAGTTAATATGATAGGAATGCAAGACTATTAAAACCACTGAAAACAGGAGATCATGTTTACATAAAAGAGAAAGGGAAAAAACTAAATGAAAGAGGGAAAATTATAGAAGAAGCAGAAAGACCACGTTCATATAGGATTATAAGAACAGATGGAAGAACTGTAGAAAGGAACAGAAGAGACCTTCTTAAAGGAACTAATCAGGAAGAGTTTGCAATACAAAACAACTATGAGAATGAAGTTATAGATGAACCCGAGATACATGAAAATAGTAGGAGCACTACAAATTTAGATGTGCCTGTAAGTCCTTCAAAAATCTAACAGAAGTGTTGTGTCACCAAATAGTGAAAGAGGTATAGTATCATCAAATTTTTCAAATGGACATAACTACGTCACTCGATCTGGTAGGACTGTTAAGAAACCTTATTATTTAAAAGAATATGTTTAATTTTACTGCTATTATTATTTTTTATAAAAAAGGGAGATGTTATATCTGTAACTGTATCTATTATTATCTTTAACTATAACTGTAATATAGTATAGTAGATGAGTAATGTAGAATAAACGATGTTTGTGTACATCTTGTAATAATCACTGAGCACGTACCCAACACATATAAAATACAACACAATTTCCTGATGTAATAGAATTAATGTTTTCCTGTGGTTTAACTTTGTCGATTGTATATATTTCTATTATGAATGCTAAAATCATCTACCTCTACATCTAAAATTTATTAGTAATTCTAATTAACTATTTTGATATTACAGTGATCTAAGTCGGATTCAAGATGGCATTGGTGAAAAAGTTGGTATGTGCATTAGCTTCTTATGTACAACTATCTTTTGTGTTTGTACTGCTTTATACTATGGATGGAAGCTGACACTTGTTTGCTTATGTATCATGCCTATTTTATCCATTGCTATGGGAATTATTTCAAAGGTATGAATAAAAAATAGTTTTTCTGAATATATTTAAGTCATATTTAATTTTAAACAAATTTCTCAATCATAATTGAAAAAAATCAAATTATTTCATTTGTACAGTAATTAGTAATTATCACACATTTATGTAATAGAATATTTACTTCTGCAATTTAGCTTTCAAGAAAGGTCTACTAGCTTGCTTTAAATTATCAGCACTTTTGGGGGGGAAAAAGAATGGAATACAAATCTACTCATCTGAAAAATACACAATGATAAAAAATTAGCAGCTAAAATGCTGTAGATAAGTAAATAAAAATATGTAAATTTAACTAAAATTTGCATTGCAGTACTGTTTGGTGACATTCTATAATTTCAAAATATTATTTAATGATTTGCCAGACAATCAATTTTTGAAACAAAAATGTAAAGAAATAAATGAATAAAAACATGCAGAATCTCAGTTTGTGTGCATTTTTCATATATAAATTTCCTTTGTTTGTATTTTATTTGTAAGTTATGATTAACAACATATTTGTCTTAATTTAGTGTTTGTTCACATAAAATCATGCAAGACAATATATGCTCTTTAAGCTAAATAAGGCTAGTAAAATGCTTGATAGTTGGAAAAGCAGCCAGAATTCAGTGAAGTTCTGAAAACCCTCTTTTTGTATGAATATGCTTTGTACTGCAGATAATTCTTCTTTCATGTGGTAATCAGTATGCTAATTATCTTTTAAATATATTGTACAGATGAGCTAAAGGGAAGAATAATTAAAACAGTAATATATTTTACAACAGTTACATACATCAAATTCTGTAAAAGTATTAGGTTAATGTAAAAAACTGCAGTTTTCATAACAAGAGAAATCAACTGCAGCAATAATTTGCTTTTACGTAAACATATTTAAGAAACTAATAAGAAATCCTAATTTAAGCAAAGCATGAAAACATTTAATCATTTAATGATACACTGAAATAAATAGGCTAAAGTAATTTTCATAAAGCTTTGAAATTATTTGCATTGGTTAGCATATTATAATATAGATAAATATACAACAAACTGTAAATCATACATTGCTTATTTAGATATGCATAACATTAAAAAATAACTAGAAAAATCAATATAAATTGATGGTTGTGAATATAAATAGGTAACTCCATTTGACAATGTAATGCCATTTTGGCAATTTTCTCTAATTTTAAAATGTGAAAAAAAATTTTTTTTTTCTTTAGAAAGTTACCTTTTTAATGAAAAACTTAATTTTTTGGGGATTATCTCCTAATTTTAACTAATATTGTTCTTTTTTAATTCATAGAATCAGCTGTAATAAACTAGTCTTATGTTTTCATGTTTGTCTGCAATTCAAAGTTTGCAAGACCTACTTTGTTAATATGAAATGTGAAAAAGTGCAAAGTCATATAAATGCATATAAATAGAGATAGCAAAATATGCAGAATTTCTGATTTTTGATGTTGTATTGACGGTATACTTGTGTATATTTAATTCTAGTTTTTAAAATGTTATGTAACAAAAGTTTAAAAGATTAAAGCTAAGAAAAATGGAAACTGTTATGGGTGAATATTATATATTTACTGTAAATGGACAGGCATTAATTAAATTTATAGTTTTTATTTGTAATAATTTATAGTTGTAGCTTTTAATAATGTTATTGGAAATTTTTCTTCAAGATTCAAGCAGCTGTCTCTGGTGATGAACTTCAAGCATATGGGGCTGCTGGAGCAGTTGCTGAGGAAGTTTTATCATCAATTCGCACTGTCGCTGCTTTTGGTGGAGAAAAGAAAGAAATTGAAAGGTTAGACTTTTTTCAAACTTTTAAAGGAAAAAAAATCAGAATTTTTCTTTTCATATACACTATCATTGCTATTTTAAATGTTAACAACATAAATGTAAATGAACATTTATGAATACGTATTCAATTTTCATTTCAAATTTAAATACTGATAAAAAATAAATAGGCTAAAAATAACAGTAAAAAATGTAAAATATAAAGTAAACTGATCTATATTAAACTATCAGTACTTTGGTATTATCATAACCACCTTGGTAGAAATCTCCAAACTGTGGCAACCATGCATATGACAATTCTTCAGATAACCATATTGATAATTGTAAGTTTGAATAAGCTATGTCACCACTTTGTACATGCTGTTTTGGTTGTATTAGAAGTTCTAAAGGCAAATTACCATATTTTTGGTCTTTAGCTGATTTTTCAAGGTATATCAGAAATTATTTAACTAATTAAGAACAGAAGATATATATTCAGAACAGCAAGTTTCTAAAGAAGCAAAATTTTCCCGTTTTTTGAATTTGTAATCTGTTATTTCTAACATGAGCAGAAAGAAAATTTATGAGCTTAGGGAGATTATTTACAATGGGATGAATCTTACAAAAACTACTGAAATAATTTTTAATGTTTATCACAGAATGAATAATTTTTATACGAACATAATTGCTATTTTTCTTGTTAGCTTAAAGCTTATACATGTAATCAATTTTTATTTACAGGTATAACAACTGCCTAATTCCTGCCAGCAAAAAGGGTATCAAGCGAGGGCTCCTCACAAGTATTGGTGCTGGTCTTATTTGGTTCTGTATTTATGCTGGTTATGCATTAGCTTTTTGGTATGGTGTAAAACTTATTGTTGATGGAAAAGATCAAGAAGTTCCAGAGTACAAACCAAGCACTCTAGTTATTGTAAATATTTCATTTTCTATTTAAAACTAATATCCCTTTTATAGGTTACAGGCAAAAACATTGCACATTAAACAACACAAAGAGAAAACATCTTTGTACAGAACATTGTGGGAGAAAAGAAAGCAAGTAGGAAACACTGCAGCTCTAAATCATCATGGTTTAAAACATCATCATAGAAAATAAAGCATTTTCAAAGCTTCATTGTTTTAAAACATCATCATAAAAATTATTGTGGTAAGAAATAAAGTATCTGCAAATCATTAGATAATAACATAAACAGATGTGTGTTTTCAGACTAAATTTTAAATGCAAGCTACTTCATATTTTTGAATTAACTAATATATTTGTACAGAAAAAGCAAGAAGGACATTTGAAGCATTAAAAAATAAAAATTGGGTAAAAATTCTTAAGTTTTGTATTGATAAAGCTTTGTATAGCTGTTAATAGAATTTTTAACTTTTTAACTTATGTAGTTAATTATTAAAGGTCTTTAGTTAATTTATTTCTTTTATAAAGTTGATTAGTAGTGAAAAACCTACATTTATAACCTTTGAAGTTTGAAAATATATGTGTATGATTTTAGTGTAATGCAATGATTTGTAGTTGCTTGATTTTTTTACCATAATATGACATTGTTTTAAAACCAAGGTGTTTATTTAACCATTTTGTTTTTAATGGTGATGTTTTAGAATGTCTACCTTGTATACTTTTCTCCTACAATGTTATGATATTGCTTTTCCTTTACGTTGTTTTCTGTGCTATGTTTCGACATATACTCCTTCGTAAAGATTAATCTAATGTCTGCTGTTTAAAGTATATTTTTTATCTTATTTCTCTGTATTTATTGTAAAATGCCTAGTTTATTGTTCTTGATTTTACTCTTTTAGGTTTTTTTCAATGTCATGCTTGGAGCCATGGGTGTTGGACAAACTGCTCCATATTTTGAAGCATTTGCCCTTGCTCGAGGAGCAGCTAGTAAAGTTTTTTCAATTATTGAAAGAGTGAGTTGCAAAATTTCCTTTTTGAATACTATTACTTTAATTATTGGTTAGACTGTAAAGATTTAATTTAAGAGACTACCCTTGTACATGCTAAATTTCATAACATCTATATTTTTCGAGGGAAAAAAGTGTTTGGTGAGAAGAATTTGTATAAAACGGTACTTCTTTTTTCATTCGTGGTCCATTTTTATAATAGAAATGTCTTCATGATCCTTGATACTGAATATAAAAAAAAGATGCTAAAAATTAATATTTTCATGTAAATGATTTATTTCTGTTATAAATAATGCATATATGAAAACAAGTAGTTGCAGAATTTGTTTCAAGTATACAAAAATTAGTGAACAAAATCAGATTTTAAGGAGATTGGTGTGCTTGTTTTTTGCTGCATGACAAAGTAAACCTTGGTACAATATTTGACACTGCTGGATGTAAAGCATCTTCATTGTTTTTTCAGAGTTGAAAATGATTTTGGTTTAATAAGTAGAAAAAAAAATTTAATATAAGGATGTGGTGCTGAGTGGCAGAACATTTAACGCAGTTTAAAAAAGTATGGGAAATTCACAATCCAATCACATTCTGATCCAAAATGCAGTCATAGATTTTTGCGAAAATTCAAATTTTGAGTTATTCAATAATTCAGCAGATTTCCTTAGCCTTTATGTGGCAAGGGATGAATCTCGTTGATGTCAATCAAAAATGGTTTTTGAATCCAAGATAACTTTTTTAACCAAAATTGGATGTAAAGTATTTGTAAAACTGTTTGTAGAATTTTTAAGTGATCTGTAAAGATTTGTGAAATTAAAGTTTTACAGTTTTCTTTTTAATTATAAAATTTTCAATAGTTGAATAGTCAAAAACTTTAAGAATAAATAATTTTCACCCTAGTGTCCTAAATGTTGATCTTTTTAATAAAACCTCCAATTTTATCATTTGAAGTAAATTTATTTTTATTTTTTCCTCAAAGAAACAAGTTGAGATCATTTAATTTCTCAAAAATATCTGATAAATGACACAACTTTGATAGCTGTAAGTCATTCTGAGAAAGAATAGCAAGGTCAGATTTTTATAAGTTTACAAATTTAATAATTTCATCTTTTAATTAATAATAATCTTCTTAAGTTTCTTCCTCTTTACCTCCATTTTACTTCTGTGTGTAATAATAAATTTTTGTATTTCAAGTCCATGTTTTTAGAGAGATTTGAAAATAACTGACTATTAAGGGCACAACTTTTAATAAGGCTTATGATTTTGACTGCAACCTGAAACTCTTCATTCGATTCCATTGGTCATGTTTTTGCTACAAGAGGTGTTGATGGTACAGGCAGTGTGTAAAAGTTACGTGATCATCATCAACAGCTTTAATGAATGATTTAAAGCCAATATTTTTTCCTGTCATCATTTTTGTACCATCTGTGCATAAACAAATTTTCCATTTCAAAGCTTCTGTTTTACAAAATATTCATCAACTTTAATATGTATGTCTTTTGCTATATGTTCTTCCAAAAGATAACAGAATAAGAGTTCTTCACCTATGTTTTCTTTATAAATATATGACATATACTAATAGCTGTTGTAGTTTTGCAATTTCGGTTATTTCATCCGTATAAATTATAATTTTTTTTTTTTTTTTTTGTAATTAGCTTTTCTATATTTTATCACCATCTTTACTTCTGTGAAGTATTTCTACCATTTTAATAGCAGCAAGTAAGACAAGATCTCTCCTGTGGTACATGTTTTTTTTTTTTAATTATTTTTAGCAATCAAACATGAAACTTCATATATCCCAAGTAAATATTTTTCCATAACAGCTATAAATTTCTCATAATATTGTTTTTCTTTATTTGAAAAATTAAAAAATTGTTTGAAATATTCTTTCATTTTACTGATCATTATTTTTTGAATAATGCTTGGATTCAAGATGCCTTTTTAGTTTTATGGTTTCATAATCTGCACAGCCAAAATGTCAGTACAAGTTAAGCAAAGAGGTTGTTTATTACCATTACATTAGTTGAAAGCAAAGCTAAATTGGAGAAATGTCTCATCATATTTTCTTTTCTTAGAGTCCTGTTTCTGATTACTAGATCATGCTTGAAGAGATTTTGTAGCACTGCTGTTTGTGTCATTGATTTCATAATTGCACTGTACAGAACATGTAATAAATTAAAGGTAAAGAAGGGATTGTGACTAATGCTTCTTTAAACTCATAGCAGAATTAAATTTTCATGACTCCATTCAGAGTTGCAAAGCACAATTTGAGAAACACTGGCATAAAATATGTTTTTAATTAATTTTTTCAATTAAGCTGAAAAGCTCTCAAATGTTAGCCTGTTTTTTATGAAGTTATTTCTAATTATTAAAATTAGCTTTAAAATTATTTTGATATATTTCTGAAAATATTTTTCAGATTTAAAAATTATATTTTAGAAATATGTTATTAATACAGGCTGTTTTATGTTGAATGGGATAAAAAGAAAGCATACCTGTGAATGCGGTAATTACTTTATTTTGAAAAATGAAATTTGCAGTAAAACTATAGGTATCCAAGTTTCTACAGATGTTCTATGTGTGCCTGTCCAGTGGCACGGTAACATCTTTGCAGGATTCCAGTTCCTTCCATGCTTATGATAGAATATCCTTTGTTAATGATTTGAGCACTTCAGTTATACACTACTTCAGTTGCTGTAAGTCCTGGTGAAAATGGAAGCATCAAAACTTTGTCTTTAACTTTGTATCAAAACTTCCATAAAGACTTTGTCCCCATAGGAATAAATCACAAAGGGTTAGATCTGGAAATCTCAGCTGCTAACAAAGTAGTAGTATATCATTTGACTCAGCATGACTAATCCAGTGATGGGGTAGACTGTTCATCAGGTACTCGCATACAATACTATGCCAATGTGGTGGAGTACCGTCTTGCTACAGAATGAAACCGTGAGCTGTTTTCTCCAACTGACGGAACAGGCACTCTGATAGCATACCTTAATAAATGCACCCATTTATCAATTTTTGCATGAAGAAAAAAGAACCAAAAACACAACTGTTGGAAATGGCACAGAAATCATTCAGCGCTGGAGAATCATGCTTATGCCAATAAAGCAGTTACACCGTGTAAATTTTCCGAACCTCAAAACCATAAGTCTTAGTAATTAACTTCACCAGAAACATGAAAGTGGCTTCATCTGTAAACACAAGTCAGTTCATGAAATCATGTACCTGCAGCTTATCTTGCAAATTCGCACAGAAAACTTTATGCAGTGCTTTCTCGGAAGGTTTTTAATGCCTGCACCATCTGAAGGATCATGGCCAGAATAGTAGACATTTCCTTAATACATGCCACACCATTACATAAGACACGTTGAGTTCAAAACTCACACAATGCATTGATTTTATGGGATTTCATAAAAATATTTCAAGAATTTTTTGACAAATTTGGTTTTGGCTGCTGAGCCCACATTCTGAAACTGCTTCACCCACCTTTCAATGTTGTGATGATGCAGTGGTTCATTACCAAATTTCATGTGACAATATCTTTAAATGATGATAAACAATAATATTTTGGCATATTCCAAAACATAGTGTGATTTCTCCTGCATGGATGGCACCATTTTGATTAACAGTGTCTCTAGCAGTGATTTCATAACCAGATGATTATTTGCTTTTGCCACGTGAAATTTGTATATTTGTAATTTCAGAATTAATTTGTTTTGGCTTAACAAATCAGTTATAGAATTTGTACTATGCTATTCTTTTTGTCCTATTCAATATGAAACACCCTGTATAATAAATTTGGTTTATGTTTTATAAAGTGGAAAAAGCTAAATAAGAACATTTATTGCGGCTTTTTTTTAACTGTAATAAATAGTATCATATGACATAACTGCAATTGAAGTTATTTTCATAATTTGTTAAACCTGGTTTGCAGATGTATCTTAAAACAGTACATGATATGTTCCAAATGTTCAGTATTAAAAATCCAGAAGGCTGTTTAATCATAAATTGTTTGGCATTAATATTTAAAACTCAAATTGAATATAATTTTTCTAAGCTGAATATAATTAAAAATTTAAAAATAAAATTACACTTAAATATTTCTGAATTTCAAATCTTTACGAAAATAGTTGAAGCTACTTATCTTTTAAACTTGGCAGTTATAGAACAAGATTATGTTATAGAAGAAATATTGATAGGAATAAATAAAAAATACTTCTGAAAATATATCTTATAATAAGCTTGTGTTCAAATTTATGTACTAACATAATTAAGTACTGTTAATTTCCCATAAACTGGGTTGCATCTTAACCGAGCCTTGTGTGTGTGTATATAAATAAAGGAAAGAAAGGAAGAAAATAAAATTTAATTTTTTTAATTAGTGAATGATGGAAAGTTATTATCATAAACTTTCAATATATATATATATATTATATTCAATATATATAGGAAAATAAAAATTTGGGGATAGAAGTTGTGGTAGCCATATATACTTTAGTCATTTAAAATTTAGCCTTTTTCACTTTTGTAAAGTTGCTGTCAAATCAATTTTAATTTTGAGCTCGCCATAGACGTTATTTATAATACTGCCATGGTCATGATTTTCCTTTTGGACTTTTTCTGTGCGTTTGTGCTATTTGTATTGATTTCCTATACTATTTAACTAGAAAACCTAGTTTTATGTTAGTGCTTAATTCTGAAGCTGAAGTATTGTTCATTTTATAATTTAATATTCATATTTGTTATCTGGTAATTCAACTGAAATTCATATTACCAGATTACAGTAAAATTTACATTTTTAGAATAAATAAAAGTGTTGTTGTCACATTGATTACATTTATTTATTCATTCGGTTAGAAACCACCAATAGACAGCAGCTCTGAAAGTGGTAAAGTACTTCAGTATCTTGAAGGAAATATTACTTTAAAAGATGTACATTTTAATTATCCAGCCCGTCCAGATGTTCCTGTGAGTACTTTTCAATTTTATCTATTTTAAAGAAAATGCTTGTAAAATAATCGCACTTCTATATTAAAAAATGCTGTTTTCTTATAAGTATATTTCATCTTATCTTTTTTTATTATTATTATTATTTTTTATTTTAGATTTTAAGAGGTTTTTCCTTAAAAATCAAGTCTGGTGAAACTGTTGCATTAGTAGGACCAAGTGGTTGTGGAAAGAGTACTATTGTACAACTTATTCAAAGGTTTTATGATGCAGATAGAGGAAGTGTAAGTATATAGTTTATTGTCAAAATACTTGCTGTTAAAAACTTTTATTTTTTAAAGAACAAATCATTTAACGTTCCTTTTTTATTTAGGTGGAAATTGATGGTGTTGATGTACGGGATTTAAATGTTGGATGGCTTAGAGATAATATAGGCCTTGTTGGTCAAGAGCCAGTTTTGTTTTCAACTACTATTGCCGAAAACATTTGTTATGGAAAGTCAGGAGCTACTCAAGAAGATGTGGAGAAAGCTGCCAAACTTGCTAATGTTCACAGTTTCATTGATGCATTACCTTTGGTAAGAACACAGTAATGTTTTCAGATTAATATAATTAGAATTCTGTGGGATATAAAACTTTCTGAATTTATTCATTATTATTTTCTTATAACATTCTATTTGTTTTTTCTGATTGTGTGCGACTATCTTTACTTTTCTCCCTCCACTATAAATATGCTGTGCCTCCACTTTAAATATGCTATGTCTAATTTTGCTGTAGGGAATGAATAAACAACATTCCTTAAAAAAGGAGGGGGGAGGAATGATGTAATTATGATACCCTAAGCCAGGTTACTGTATTATAACATTGCAAAGACAAATCAAATGCCTCAATAATAGCCAAATGAAATCTCTTGTCCATTAATGATTTTCAAGGAAAACCTGATGAAACTGTTTCCAATATTTTCTTTTTTTTCTGAATCAACAAAAGGCAATTGGCTTTCAACTGTCCCCCCCCCCCTCTTTTTTTTTTTTTTTTTTTTTTTTTTTTTTTTTTTTTTTTTAGCAATTTGCCAGTCAGCTTAAGTGTTATTCATTACTTTATCCTTAGAAGTTCCCTTGAACAATGTTGTAAATTTCGAATAACTTAAAGCTATGTTCCCCCCCCAAAATAAAGAAAAACAACAAGCAAGTAAAATCAATTTTAAAAATTTTTTATTGTATTCTCATCCAAACTGCTGTAATTTTTAAAATTTTCATCTTTAATTCATACATTTTGAAACAGTGTTAAAAAGTGGATCATTTCATAACTAAAAATACTTCTTGGCAAACACATCAGTATGTTAAAAGGGGCTAGTGTTAATGCATAGGTTCCAAATACAGTACAAAGTACGTAATCCGGACTCGTCGGGACTTCGGCGATTCCGGATTAAGGGTTTTTCCGGATTATAGACCATCAATTTAAATCTGGTAAGATGGCATGCAGACATTATACAATTAAAAATATGAAACCGTAATTTATGAAATAAAGAGTAATTATGATCTAAATTTACAAAAAAAAGTTTAATATTTATTTGTTTACTTTATTAAACATTTCTTTCAATGTAAGTTGTTTAAGTTTCTTTGTTTTTGTGCTAAACGTGCATGCGTAACATCAGAGGCGCATTACACACATGCGTAAAGCATACAAAAAAAATGTTTGTGGTTTTGAGGTCCGGATTATAGATCATTCCGGATAATGGGTGTCCAGACTTTGTACTGTACTGTGAATTTACTGTAATCTCTACAGAAATTCTTGGAAAACTACAAGCGATTGGTAGAAACTATGGATTTTACATAGAAAGAGAGGAAGGGAAATAATACACAAAACGTAAACATTTCATCTGATGACTGGCTGAATGCTGATGATATCATGTATCCCATGTTGAGTGCATTGTTAGTTTTGAAGAGTAGCCAATCGTAGATCAGTAAACTCAGACCATTAATCTTTGTTCAGGGAAGGACTTCAGCTCCATTAGTTTAGATTACAGTGAGAGCATAGTACATGTATCTTGTGAATGGTGATTCAGCTGAAAGTTTTTTGGTTGAATTATTCTGCCTTAAATTAAGAAGCTAGAAATTTAAAGATTCATATTTTACAGAATTTCCATCCATTCAAGAATCTGAAATTCCCATGAATCATGCGTATTACAGTGTATGCAGCAAAGACTTCTGAGCTGTGCATGGTGGAAAAGATGACTGTAAATGAGGAACTGTGTGTTCTCAAAGCATAAAGAAATTTTTCTGTAAAATCTAAATGAATAAAAAATTCCTTCAGTGAAAATTACGGATAAGATGCAATAAAAGATGAATGCTGTTTTGTTCAATTTTTAATTGAACATGTTCTGCTGATTTCAGTTTCGGATGATTCAAAATTACTCGTCAATGCAACATTTCTGGATTCTGCTGTGGCAAAAAAATTTAGCTGCAGATTTACCAAAAGGGCTTGAGTTATACAAACACTTGAAAAAAGTACATTTGCTGTTATTGTAAAAGTAGGGAACAATACGTGATTTGCTCTACCGATGCCATTAATGGTAACAATGGGGGGATAATAAACTGTACCCTTTGATTATGACATATTATAGCAAAGGAAAGAAAGTGATAATTCATTGATTTCTATTTTAGAATGCAAGAATAACATCAGAGGGCATTTTTAATTGCATAAATGAATACTTTATAAGCAAAGGTTTAGAATGGAAAAATTATTTATCATTTTCTTCAGACAATACTAGTAATGTGTTGGGAATATTTAAAATGTAGCATCATTTATCAAAATGGCATCAACCAGCTATAATCATCCAAAGTTGTCCATGCCACCTCCAGCACATAAGCTACCAAAGGAAAAAAAAGGCTACTGAAAAAATTAATAAGCTTAGAAATGCTGTTAACAAGATTATATATATAATATTATATATATATATATATATATATATTTAAAGAAAGGTTCATAATGTAAGAACAGATTCAAACTTCCCCTACAAATTTTGAGACAAAATGCAAAAATCTCATAAAATTTTGGAAAATCACAGTCAAATGCTTCCTCTTTTATTAAAAGGATTTTGGAACAGGGGAATGCCCTGGTTAATTTTTTTGATGGTCAACCAGATAACAATTAGAATTATAAGGAAAGAGATTGCACAAGATTAAGAAAACATGACAGTCATCTACCACAAAATTGTATTTATTATTTTTGAAGAATACTTTGCTTATAACAGTAAATATTAATTTGCAACAATAAGCTTCTTATATACATAAATTGAGAAAAGAACTTGAACTTTTAATGAATTTATTTGTTAGATTCCTAAAACCATCAGTAATTTTTTAAAAGAAAGTGCAAATGTCACTTTGATATCTGTTTCACTTCAACAGTGTAATAAACAGAAAGGAAATAAAAATTGTGTGATTGGTGCAGAAACAAGATTATATTTAAAAATACCAAGTTGAGTGAAAGTGAAATGAAATTATTTTTCAATTCAGTGCTGCTTTTTTTTTTCCAACTGCGTGTTCAGGCATCATGTTTTGTAACATGCATAACAGACACATTTCTTCTGAATGATCCATTCGTAAAACATGCTGAAGTTGCTGACATTAACTTGAGAACTAAAGTTTCATTTTCATCGGTTCATTTCTTGGTAAATACCTTACCATCCATTATTGATGAAAAATATCTTGCTCGGGTATACATTAGGTTTCAAGTAGATAATTTAAAAGCTTCAGATTTGTGTATTGATACAGCATGCGGAGAAATTTTAAAATTGAAAGATGTGAATGGGTGCATTAAGTATAAAGTATTGCCTAATGTAATGCTTCCTGCTTTTGTAATACCTCATTCAAATGCAGCTTCCAAAAGAATTTTTCCTAATATTTAAAAAAAAATGATGCTAGTAATTTTTATGATGATATGTGCATTCTCGTGTATCTAAAATTTAAATTTTTTTTTTTTGTTTGTAAATTTCATTTCCTTGTGAAAATTAGAACCTCTAAATGTCATGATGTATGATTTATGGATTCTCATTTCCTGTATGATTATTTGTTTTAATGATATATTAGTAGATTTATTGATGTTTCTGCTTAAAAAGTAAAATGAAAATTCCTTATTAAATATGCATGTAATTTACATGAAGTATTTTTAATTATTAATTTTAAATATATATGTTCAATTTATATATGGATTTTAAGTTAGTTAAATTGATGACAGCTAATGATAAATTAAAAGTTAACAAACAGTTAATTAAAAAAATATGCTTTACATGCACATTTTGAAAGTTGTAAAAAGGTTATTGCTTTAGGTTAGAGTTTATGTTAATGCATATAAAAAGGCTTTTTCATAAAATTAAAAATTTAGGCAGATTTTTTTATTAACTTAATGCATTTTAAAATTCTTAAATTACAAATACAAAGCAAATTAATACTACTAAGCTTTTAGAAATCACAGTTTTTGCTCAATTTAGCCTCTCTGGAGTGTGAAAATATTTAAAGTTCAAAGTTTGCAATTTTTTTATAAATATTTTCATTAATTTGGAAAATATTTTTAAATTGCTAGATGCTGCATTGTTTACCATCCATAACAGCAGAATTTAATTTATCTTTGATGCATATTTTTCACATTTCTTAATCAATAATAATAATTATGAAAAGAAGAAAACATAAAAGTATTACTTTTATAGGCAGTATTTTTAATGATGATTTAAATTTTTTTTTAATCCAGAAATCTTGCAATCAGTTTATATGTGCACTTCTCACTTTTTTTTTATTAATACTCTGAAATAGTATATTGCTGGTGGGGGGAAAAAACAGCTTTAATGGGAACATTAATGTCATAATTTATATTTTGCTGTAAAACAGAAAAAATAATTTTCTGTCAATGCAAATCAATTTATCTGTATGGAACTTTAGATTAAACTTAAACATTTTAATGTATTCTAGAGAGTGTTTTTATTATTATTATTATTATTATTATTATTATTATTATTATTATTTTATTTTATTGTAAGATTTCTAGGTGGATAATAAAATTATCGAAAAAAAATAGAACCTAATTTAAATTCCAAATATGTTACTATCTGTTGCTATAACTCCTTACACTTAGATTCCAATTAACCATCTATGAACCTAGTCTAATATAGTTTAAAAAAGTTGTATTTATTCCTTTCTATAGAAATATAATACTCTTGTTGGTGAACGTGGAACTCAGTTAAGTGGTGGCCAAAAGCAAAGAATTGCTATTGCAAGAGCTTTAATAAAAAATCCGAAGATTCTACTTTTAGATGAAGCAACATCAGCTTTAGACACTGAAAGTGAAGCGATAGTACAATCAGCTCTTGATCAGGTCTGTTCTCATTTGTATCATAATAGTTACATTATGCTGTCTTAGTTAATAATTGTTGTTGTTTATAAAATTTGAATGGAAATATAATTAGATTAATTTTTAAATAAACTTTAATTTATATAACCTCAGAGATGTTGATAAAGTTCTGCTTCCATTAAATTATGTGAAAAGGTGCAGTACATGTACAATCATGTATGCCCATCTCTTCCTTGATGTATTTATTATTTTTATATTATATAATCATAATACTGATAATGCATGATCATTACTTAAAAGAAAGACTGATTTGGTTTCCATTTTTTAAGAGCAAAGAGAAACATGCCAAAGTGAAACATAAAATAGCCAAAACAATAGCCATCTGTTTCACACAATATAATCAGTCCAATATGGGCAACAAAACTGCAATAGATTGAAACAAATACCTGTGGGAAGGTATTCATAGCATTCTAACTTCTGATAAATTTGAAGGGCTTAACAAAGTAGTAAAAATTAATGAAAATTGAAAATTTCTTTACAAAGCACAAAAATTAAGCAGGTTAAAGGCTTTTTTTTTTTTTTTTGGAATGAAAAGGCATATTTTTCCTTTAGAATTCTGCAAGAACAATTGGTGCAGCTTTGGCGGAATCTTTGCCAATCTTTGTGATTCAATGGTAGCCATATTTTACCATTGATGGGATTACCATTTTTCTTCTTAGTTAATTTTATTTTGAAAAAATTTGACTCATTTAAATACTTTTCCTGTCAATTTGCTATATTTTATTACAGATATTTTTTCATAAAGTTACTGTAACAAAATATTTGCTGACTTAAAGAGTTTGATATTGCATCAGATTGAAAAAAATCAGCCAGTGGTAAAGTAGAACAGAAAAATACTTCAAAAAATTGAGAAATGATAATTCCATTGTACCTGCTTCAACTAAGTCTACATAATAAGTTTATATTTTATCTTATCTAGGCAAGGCAAGGTCGAACAACTATCATAGTTGCCCATCGATTGTCTACTATTCGAACTGCTGACAAAATCATTGCATTATCAAATGGGGTAATTGCTGAAGTGGGGACTCATGATGAACTTATGGAAAAGAAAGGGGTTTATTATGAACTAGTCATGACTCAGGTAGTTAAAATAGCTCTATTAGCATAATCATCCTTGTTATTTATTATTTGATTTACTGCTTTGTAGTTATTTATTTCAAATAAGATTGTTAATGCGCTATTTTTTATCTGTATCCAGACTAAAAGTGCTGAAGAAGAGGAGGATGAAGAGGAAGATGATATTTTAGATGAAGATTTACCAATGCTTGAACGTCAAATGAGTATTCTCAGCTCTGCGTCTTACAATTCAGAGGATACTCTTCCACGAAATGCTAGACGTACATTTTCAGCTGCCAGTCATCGAAGTAAAAAAGCTGCTATGGTAAATTTCAGTTTTCAACAGTGAATTTTTTATAGATATTTGCACTTAATGAGCAGAAAAACAAAATGCTTGCATTTTATGTCATTCTTGGTAATTTAAAATATACATAAATTTATATATTTTATAAAAATATTTTTAATTCTAAAAAATTTATTCCCAATGTGTAATTTTGTAATTAGTGTTATCTTGCAAGAAAATATAAATTAATTTTAATCCTAAGTCTGATATCTAATAAATAAAAATGGAGATATTTTTTGTTCATTTATTTACTTCATTTAAAAGTTGTAATGTTTATCTTAAGTTATCCAACATTTACCAAGGTAATTGGAGGGGGAGATCATTTCAGAAAATAAGAAAGGCTTATTCTTACTCTCATATTATAAAGTTAACAGCTAAGAATTCTGACTGAATATTTTTAATGAAAAATTACTAAAATTATAGTTATAAAAATGTAACTTTTACAAATCTCTAATTTTAAAATAACTGATTAATGATTGAATGAGTGATTTTCAACTGGGTTGAAAATTATTATGTTAAATGAAGGTAAATTACAGTGTTTAAATGAAGATAAGCTATTTTTATCAATATTTTTTTTAAATTATCAACATAGTTAAAATTCTGCTAGCAAACATGTCAAATGAAAAGGGTTTTTGTGTTAATATATACATATAATAGTGGGAAGGTACATTTCTGATATTATTTAAGTCAAAAGTATCATTTATTTGGAATGCAAGGCATTTTTTGTTTGCTTCAAATATATATATATATTTTTTAAAACTTAATAACTTATCTAGTCAATCTATTTTTTAATAAAAGCTAATTCAGTTTTTATCATCCATTAATTATTTCAGCTAACATAATTTGGGTTCAGACTTGACTAACTTAATCTTCTGTTTTTAAGTATGTATTTGTCTCAAACATTAATTAGTAGCTTAACAGCTAAGAATTCTGACAATATTTTTAATGAAAAATTACTAAAATTATATTCATGAAAATATAACTTACAAATCTCTAATTTTAAAATAACTGATTAATGATTGAATGCAGTGATTTTTCAAATCCAGAGGAATTCCTTGAAACTTAATTATGAAACTCTGAAAACACTATTAAATATCAACTAGTGTGTGGTACAAAAAATATGATAAATGTTGTATTCTCACATTTGTGGCTATGGATTTGCATCTTTACTATTTTCATTTATGTTATTACTGACCTAAGTACACGATACCTCCATATATGAGATAGCCATATTTTTTAAGGTGTTTTGCGAAGGATAAAAAAAGAGTTGCTGGACAGCCTCATACACAAGAGCTTGATGTGATGAAGGTATTCTTTGTAAATATAATTAGATGCTCAGTGTATCATTGAGCTAAAATTGTAAGAGGAACTTTTTTTTTAAATGTAAAATGAAAGAATAAGAGATACATTGTAATTTATCCCTTTACTTTTTTATTAAAAGAAAATATAAACATTAGCTTTACCTCAGAGGTAAATTATTTATATTCTTCTTGAAGCTTAACGCGTTAACATATGCTTTTTAAGTATTAAACTGTGTTGAATGGATATGGTTCTCAGAAGGACATTTTTGAATGAAAAGCATCTTTTGGGCAAATTCTATTCTTAAAAATTGGTGATATATGTAGTAATTCTTTATTATTTGTTGTTGTTTTTTTATAATGATTGCATATAGTTAATAACATATTTTTAAACCAATATGTAAGAACACATTTTTGTACTTCTATTTTAATTAATTTATTTGTTTTTATTGATACCTATTATTCAAAAGTTTCAGGGTATCATTTTATTTGAAATGTTGCAAAATTTTTAATTTTGAACATTAGAATAAATAAAATTTGCTTTCTTAGGAGGAGGAGGAAGAAGATGAAAAAGCAGCTCCATCTCAGACTCGGCTTATTAAAATGTGTGCTCCTGAATGGCCATACATATTAGTTGGTTCAATAGCTGCATTAATTATGGGAATTTTCACACCTGTTTATGGCATAGTTTTTGGTGATATACTTGGAGTAAGTATAATAATTTTTTTAAGTTTCCTGTCAAATATTTAATTTTTATTATGGGCGTGATAAAAAAGCCTTCTTTAAAGATTTTAGGAAATTTGTGCCGAAGGACTATATTGTCAAATCATACAGAAACAATATCATTTTGGTTCATAGAAAAAAGTTGCATATTTAATGTCTTTTCCATAAATAATTTCTGAACTAATCATGTAGAATTCATTTCGCCCTAATTATATTGCTTCTTTATTATAAATAGCTGAGAATTTAATCATATAAATGTGTTTTCTGATATATGCAGTGCATCTATGAAGCTTCAAAAATTGATTTTTTCAACTAATCACAATAAAATGCAATCATTGCCTGCTATTATTGATTCGGTGACTGAACTTGAGAACCAAAAACAGTTCTTTTACAGAATGTAACTGTTGTCAAGCAGTTTTTTGTAAACAAAAATGTGATCATTCTTAATTATCTCCATAACTTATCAGTTCGGTGTACTACCTTGTTCCTTAAAGCAAAATTTCACCATAAAGGTCTTTGAGAGCATTTCAAAAATTCACAAAATCATAGCAAAAGGTGAAATAATGTACTAAAGTTGACCTCTAAAAACCCATTCGAAATTTTCTGAACACAATAAGGAATGCAGAGCATACAAAGGAATATATTAGAAGGCTAAGTAATGATAAGGCGTTTTATTCAGATCTATGCAGTCACTCTTACCATTTTGTTGGTGAATTATTAATTTTTGAAAATTAGTTTTGGTTTTAAATAATTTTTTGAAGACATTCTTTTGGATGAAGTAAAAAAAAATCTGTTCCACTTTATTCTTCTGTGAACTTTCTCTTTTATTTTATAGCTTTGAAAATTTTTAACAACAACAACAGAAAGACATATGATTAAATTTTGCCTCAAAGTATTCTGATATAAATTATTATTGTAGTTATAGAAATTGTCAATCCTAAATTGTGACACATTCTTCGTTATGTAAGTAATTATATTTTGTATAAGAATTGTTTTTTCTTTCACAACTGTTCATTCTTAAAATAATAAAAAGCATGATTATTGAACTAAAAGATGTATAGATTATGTGAGCGTCTATATTTTAATTTTACGTTGACAAAGATGATGTTTTTTCAGAAAGTTACTTTTCTAACTGCAACTGTTTCTTTTTAGTTTAAATTTTTATAATACGTAGTTTGATATATAGTCTGATCATATTTATGTCTACTTGTAAAAATTTTGAATTTATGTGTATTTTATATGTAGATTCTGGCAGAACAAAGTGAAACCATTCTGAATGATATATCTTATTATTCTCTCGTATTTCTTGCCATGGCAGTATCTGCTGGGATTGCTTGTTTTCTACAAGTAAGCTATTTTTCTTTTCAAATTTCCGATAGTATGTAGTGAATGCTGATTTAATTTAGCAGAAGTAAAAGTAAAGAGGGGAAAAGGGTGTTAGAAAATAATATTGTAAACATTATAAGTGACTTTTTGAATAAATTAGCTGTTTTATTACATTGTAAAATTTGTAAATGAAAGTCAATTTGTAAGATTTTTTTTTCAATTTTCCTCTTTTTTTTTATGTATTTGATTTGTATTTTCATTAATTTATTATGCTTAATGCAACATTTTAAAATTTGTACTACAAAAATTCTACAAAATAGTCATTATAAGACAGTTGCATTTAATATTATAAGAAGATTACAGTCAAAAGTCGTTAATTCGGACACCTATAATCTGGAATGGTCTATAATCCGGACCTCAAAGCTACAAACTTTCTGCGCATGCATCGCGTTGACGACTTTCACGTCTGCGAATATGCGTGTGCACATGCGCGTTTAATGTATAACGGATGGTATAAGCTAGGCTAAAATTATCTAATTCAGTTAATGTTGCAGATTGCGTTGTTCCTTAATCTTTGAATTGGATCTGGCTTTATTATTTTTTGCAGACTGTTAGAGCAATTTTATAAAAGTAAACTTGAACTTTCCATTACGTCAAATATAATTTCCAATATATATTTACTAATATGTAAAAGATCTACAAAGCGAAAGTATGTTTCGAAGTCCATTAAATAAAACGTGGAATTGCTGCAAAAAATGGATAAAGACATATCCTTTGTTTATTTAACCATTCCGAAATCTGTTTATCAATTTCACGCTGCTCTGCGGCGGGGTGGCCGGGAGGGAAAAGCCGTGGCACGCAATGAATTGGAAGTTGATCTGTTAGCACTATCCTTATCTTCAGAGCAGATGTTTTTATTTTATTTGGCTTATAATTCCTTACTAAATGTAATATTTCATCTCGATGTACTCCGTCTTTGATACGATTTAAATCAAATTCCTCGTCATTATAATTCGCTTCCGATAGTGAAAAAAGTGACACACAGGTTATTGAAAACGAAAAAATTTCGATTGACAAATTAGTGGGTATTCTCGACACAGCAATTATAGGACTTGAACAGCAGAAATTTGTAACTGAACAAGATATTATGTCTGTTTATAGAAGTAAAGAGAAAGTATTATCACATAAAACAAAGCAACTTAAACAACTACTTGAAAGAAATGTTTAATAAAGTAAACAAATAATATTAACTTTTTTTTTTTTTTTTTTTTTTTTTTAAAATTTTGATACGCTTTAGATCATAATTGTTCTTTATTTCATAAATACGGTTTCATATTTTAATTTTATAATTTCTGCTGCCATCTTACAGATTTAAACGATGATCTATAATTCGGAAAAATCGATAATCCGGAATCGCCAAAGTCCCGATGAGTCCGGATTAACGACTTTTGACTGTATATAAGTGGTCAGTCTGCAATGTCCATTGAGGACAATTACAAACAAATTATTGAAGATATTTTATATCTTCAGGATTTTAATGAGGATATAAATGAAGAAGGAATTATTATGGAGCAGGATGAAAAGGAGAAAGACTTTGTTTACAATGAAATTTTGATTGTGATGAAAAGTCTATGGATAAAGTCTACTCCTGAGTTGATCAGGGCCACATTGTTCAAGATTTTGTTTGAGGATTGTCCTTCCTTTTTCATAGTGTTATATAATAGAGGCTTGTTGTTGGAGGAGAAGTTGGGGGTATTTCCTGATGTATAGAAAATTGAAAAATTAATCTTGATTCCCAAGGATAAAGGAGGATTTCGTCTAATTTGCCTACTGAAAACATTTGCAATGATTTACGATAAACTTTTAGTTAATAGACTGCAATATTTTTAAATAAGATTAATATTATTTCTGAAAGGCAATTTGGTTTTAGAAAGGGAAAGTCATATCTGGCATTAGAGAGAAACGAAAGACTAAGCATGTGGTTCTGGTTTCATTTGATGCCAGGGGTGCTTTCGATAATGCAAGGCGGCTCTCCCTGATGCGACACTTGAAGAATATTGGAATTACTAAGAATATGTATGAAATTATAAAAAGTTACTTTAAAAGGCGAAAGATGTTTTTAAGGGTCTATCTGATAATCTGAACCTGGTTTTTGACATTTACAAAGGCTGCCCCCCAAGGCTCTTGCATTGCTCCTCTGTTCTGGGGCCTCATTGCTAATGATTTACTGCAGAAAGTCAGTATTTTGAATTGTGAGATTATATGTTCTGCCGACGATATATGGGTTATGGTGGAGAGAAACTCTCTTGGAAAAAAATGGAGAAAGTACTTAAAAAAGTAGAAAATGATTCGAAAGAATGGAGTGACAGAGAAAATATATTTTAATAATGAAAAAAACTTGTGTCTTTTTTCCCTCAGGGTGGGAGAAAGACTAGACTCCCCAATTGAAATTTAAAGGTAATCATATCAAATTGGGTGAAAATATGATATATCTAGGCATTATTATTGATACCAAATTAAATTTTGTGGAACATTTTAAGCAAATACATAGAATCACAGATAACACATAAAAATTTTTGTAAGTATTATTTTTAGTGCTGATACTTTAAATAGAAAGAATTCCACCCTGAGAGAGATATTTAGAAATGTGGTCATCCCTAAAATATTATATGGAGTCTTTGGAGCTGCCGGGCAGAGGAGGTACTTAGGATTAGAATGAAATTGAACACCCCTGCAGAGAGGCTGGTTGCTTGCCATTACAAGAGCCTTCAGAACCATTTCGATTGAAGTTGCCTGCATCCTTGTGAGTGTTCTGCCCCTCTTGATTTTTATACAAATTATACTACAAAAAGTTTCTATTAGCTAATAAAATTATTATAGATACTGAAACTGGACAAAAATTACTCATGAGTAAGGCCTTTCAACAAGAGAATGAAGCTATTATTCACCCAATGACACAATTTGTATTTCTTTATGATCTTGATATTCCTTCTGATGGCGAAATAGACATTTTTACAGATGGTTCTGGAATTGACGAGGGAGTGGGTAGTGCTGTGGTAATTTATTTTCATGGAGTGGAGATAGACAATATGAGAATAAAACTTAAACCAATGAATTTGATTTATCAAGCAGAACTATACACATTGATAGAGGCTTTGAATTGGATTAATAAAAAAATTAACAGTTTGATTTTTTTATTAATTATACTGATGCCCTATCTGTGCTATATGCACTCACCCAACCAGGTCATAAAAATCAACTGATTAATAAAATAAAAGACTTGTTTGAAAGAAAACGTATTGTTAAATTACACTGGGTGAAAGGACATAGTGGAATTGTCAGAAATGAAAGGAAAGACACCCTTGCTAAAATGGCGGCACTTGGGGATGGGATGGATAATTTTGATATCCAAGATTCAAGAAATAAGACCATTGCTGAAATAGAAAACTGGATTTATACAGAATGGAATTTTAGCTGGGATTCGTCTTATAAGAAAAAAAGAGTTAATGAAAAATATAAAAATAAAATAATATATTTAATGAAAAATATAAATAATGTTGATATAAATCAGGTACTGACTAATTATGGGCGTTTCCTGGCTTATTTTAATCGGTTCCAGCTACAGAATAATGGTAAATGCTTAATATGTGACAAGTTTGGGGAAGCCAGGCACTTCATCAATGAATGTACGCTTACCTGGAGTGCAAGAGAGAAATACAGAAAGAATTTTAAGCAAGATTTTAAAATGAACTATTCAAATTTGAAAGGTTTTACAGAGACAATAATGAAAATTATAAATACGAACAAAGATAGAATGGAATTTGGCAATGAGACTCAGATTTTGGACTTTTTTGTTTTTTCTTGCATTTGTTTTTTTTTCTGGCCAGTCCCATTTTTTTATCATATGGCCAGCTTATGCTGGGTAGGAGGAACGGGTCTGTGCCCTTATAATGATAATGATGATTGTGTTTTGTCTATTTATTTATTTGTTCATTAATAGAGATATTTGAATAGTGGATACAAAAAGTTGAGAAATCCAGTGCTAAATACTTAAATTTTAGCAAGAAATATTTCTCTGGCTCTTGTACATCTTTTATTGCTTTTAGCAGATACATGTACATATTTATAGTCTGTAATACATGTAGTAGCTGTACTATGCAGTATTCTTACAATATGATTTTGCCTTACGATAGTTCAAAAACAGGAATGCTGTACTCAGATTTTATTCACATGTTAGGCTGCTAGTCTAAGATTTTAATAAGTCAATCATCCAGGAAAATGCTGTAAATTAAAAAGGCAGAATGAACAGAAACCTTATGTTAATAGATTGTCCTGAAAAGCTAAATGGTAAGGCTGACAAGATTTTCCCTCTGAAGCTATGAAACTTCTCCTTAGGAAAGATTTCTCCCCTGCATGAGAACCCATGGTGTAAAAGTAGTAAATCTACTCACTATCTGGAATCATATTAAAATTTCATGAACTTTTGTATTTTTTTTTTTTTTCTGTTTATTAAACTATTTTGGTAGAAATATTTTCCTTGTTCTTCACTTATTATATCATATTTATCGGCAAAGTCTGGGTATGAATTTAAAACTGAAATTTTATTCATACTGGGTAGCGTATAGATCTGAATTTTTGAGCATGCCTTCATAATTAAGTTCATTATTATTATCTGCATATTTATTAATGACATTTGTAGAAGCAGTCCAAGTTCTCTTTTCAACTTCACTCTTAACAAATTTGAAGTTTTGATCCAGTGCTAATTTTATATGTTCAGGGCCATTGAAAATCTTTTCCTTCAGCTTAGTTTCTATTAAGAAAAGAACTTTCAACAAGGTATTTAAAACAATAATCACTTTTTGACAATGCTTTTCCAAGTTGATTCATGAAATTCAGTTTTATGTAACCCCCTGAGTAACATGTAGTTAATCCTCTGAGTGGCATGGTCATGTTTATCTAGTCGTGATTTTTTTTTTTTTTTTTTTGTCTCTTGGTATATATTAGTTTATAATTTACAAAATTTTACTTTTTTTAATGGATAAATATCTTAATGAATAGCAGCTTATGAAAATGGAGACTAAAATAAATAATTATACAAATTTCATTAATAAGTGCTGTTTAAATACAGAATCTTCGTAAACAGATCCCAAAAGTTGTGCCACTCAGACGGCTAATATAATCATTCCTGTGATTGGAAAAGAATGAGAATAGCTCAACTAATCAAAGTTAATTTGTATTAACCGCAAAACCAAGTTGGATAATACAGTTCATAAAATCTTTAGTTCTTATTTTTAACTCTTATTTTTAACCTTTAAATCTGTACCAGTGCATTTTGCCGTATATAACTCTAGAAGTCCATTGTTTTAATAATTTTTGTTTCATAAGTAAATTTAATTTAACTCTTATTTTTTTGCAGACATTCATGTTTTCTGTAGCTGGAGAAAAATTGACATCAAGGTTAAGAAAGATGGTTTTCACTACAATTATTAGTCAAGTAAGTTAACCCCAATAAATTCTCTGTTCATGAAATCAGAATATTTCATGTGTTGAAAATGAAACAAACTTTTCATTAATTGAATGGAATAATAATTTTCATTATATAATTGAATATTAATTCATGATATATAATTCTAATAGTTTTTAAATTGTTTAAAAATTGGTCTTACCCAAGTATGAAATGGCTTAGTCTCCTCCCCCTCCCCCATAACTATGAAATGTTTTTTTTATTTGTATCATGTATAATTTGTTTTATTTCTAAGGACATAAAATATATGATTAGTGTGGAAAAAATTTAACTTAAAATGTTTTTTTTTGGGGGGGGGTGTCTGTGTGTGTTATTTTTTTTTTTTTTTTATTTATTTATTTTTATGGTCATAATGTTACACATGTGTTTATAGAATCTTGCTTAAATCCTGATACTTACTCTGTTAGATTTTCTTTGTTTCTGGCTAAGTTTGCTTTCAAAACAGCTGTACAAAAAAAAAAAAAGAAAAAAAAAAAAAAAAAAAAAAAGAAACTAAGGTTTATCTGTACCAAACCTGAAATTTAATCAATTGAAAAAAGTAAAAATTAAATTTTGATGTAGAATCCAGACTTAACTACAAAAAGTGACTGAATTACAAAGAAGACTTCATTACTCACAGTAACTATTTACAATTACAAAAATTAACAGTAACTATTTACAAGTGCTAGAAATATTCTAATACGCTGTAGAGATATATATCTAGTTCTCATCTTCCAAACAAAAAATGTGTTAAGGAACACTTGCTCACCACTGAATAATATCTATATGATTAGCTCTTTCATTATGATCTATAGTAGCAGCAAGCTATCATAGCAACTCCTTATAGTAAAGCTGTGTTATTTACAGTAACAATCAATCAGTCATATTGTATGTGTCACCGTAAGTCATACCGTATATTTATACTTCTGTGTACTCTTCCTCTTTGATACTTTTCTTATTTTGCCATTGTCTTATTTAGAGGAATAGGATGTTTGTTTTTTTAGAAAGAATTGATGAGATAGCTTATCTGAAATATTAGTAAAAATTTAAATAAAATCTTTAAAAAATTTTCTGTTGCAGAAATAATTGTGGGAGATTATAAATGCAGGTAATTTTCGATAACTTAGTTAAAGCTGGCGTCTTAACTTGAAAGAACAGTAACTTTATGAATGTACAAATTTTCATAATTATTTTTAAAAAATTGTAGGGGAATTTCTGATTTCAGTAACAGGCTTTTCCCAAATCTTGCATAAATTTGAAGAATTAGATTTTTTTGTATTATTTTTTGCATTCTATTATAATTATTTTTATGCTACTTTCCACTTGAGTTTTCACAAAAGGACACAGTAGAGTTATTCTGATTCAAACTTCATACTAGAATGTTTAAAGTTGAATTAGTTTTGATGGATTTCTAGAATGCAAATAAAAATCATTTCCCAAAGTCACATAAAGTTGCTCTCCTGCCTCTAAATGCTGACAAAACATTTTGGTATTGAATTTTCTTGTATTTATTTTTTTAAGCAAGCTACATATTTAAGAAAATGCTTACATATACAATATAATGTATAAAAACACCATCCAGTTACATGAGAATTTTGATCTATAATAATGATGTTAACTGCTTTCTTGAGGTGGGTGGGTTTTTTTTTTTTTTTTTTTTTTTTTTGAAATGTTTCATTAAAAAGTGCATAATGTAATCTTTATTTGGTTGCCTGCTAGTTAAGCTGTCTGTGTCAATGCTTCATTTCTAGTAAACATCTCTTTCTCTGCCAAACTTTAATGTAAATCCTCAATTTCAAAATTAGTAATTTAAATCCTAGTCTAAGAGATTTTTATGAATTTTCACTATTTTTCTTAGGATTGTTCCATGAATTTTACTTCCTTCCCCACAATAAAATTAACTGTCATAATCACATATAATCTTTAAGGAAGGTCAGAATTCCCCCTTCCATGATCATGTGCAACAATAAATGCCAAGATTGCAAAAGTAAAAAATGTTATTTCACTGGAACCTTGTATTATGAGTGCCTGTCATCATAAACATTTCAGTTCACAAACAACTTATCTAAATGGAAAAGATCTTAGGTGACAAATGCTGTCTTGAGTTAAAATCACTCAAATCTGGGGGGGGGGGAATTTAATGTGTTTCGATGTAATAACCTAAGGCATAACATTAACACTCAGGGACTTCTGAAAATATCTATTTAATATTTAATATTTTTGCTTAGTTCTCATTAACAAAGCCTGACAGCAAATGGTTTATAGGATGAACTTCAGCTTAGAGCAAATTATTGCAAAATTGCAGGCTAAGACTTTAAGAGCTTTGCCATTTAGGATTTTTCCCCCTTATCTATGATAGTGTCTTTAGACAAAACTGCAGACTTGGAAGTTTACATTAAAGATATAAAGGAGTTTTTTTAATGACCATAAAAATAATTTCAACAAGAAAGAATTGTAATAACTTCAGAAGAAACATCAAAAGCTGACTATGAAAGAAATGTCTTTAAAGGAAAGAAGAAACAATGATCCTAGTTCTTTTGATCTGTGAATATGTAACACAATAATGTAAAGTGAAAAGTTTTGGATAAGAATGTTATCCTGTTAAATTAGTAGCAAGCTACAGCATAAGCATATTCAATTACAGTGAAGTGCCTCACTTTAGCAGCATTTTAAAGAACATAGTCAGCAACAAATTACATAGGATAAATGTTGAAGAAAATGGAAGGCCAGTGAGTGTCAATGAAGCACTGCTAAAAAGACAAAAATGGTTAGATAATGTTTATTCTGTTCAGATGACACAGTGTACATGTCCTAGTTTCCTCAATATGTTTTTGATACTAGGAACTGATAGCTTGCCATATTTTCCATAAACATAAATGAAATTCAGCTACTATTTAAAAAAATAAATGCAATTTAAATTAGTAAAACTATTTATTTTTAAAATGCAGTACAAGTAGTATAAAATAGAGTAAAATATTTATATTAGAAAAATAATTATTTTTATGGTATTTATTTAAGTATATTTTCTTCTGTTAATTTGCTTTGGTGTAATATTAACTTTTCAATAACTTTTTAGAGATAACTCTTTTGTGTAAATTTTCTACCCAAATAACCAAGTGTAATCATGGACTCTTTTAGATGGATATTGAATAACATAACATGAACTTATTTATCAAATTCTCTTGATTAAGATTAGTATTCTATGGATTAAAATTAGTATTAAGAAAAGACTGAAATCATTGATATTTAAAATTTTTTTTGTGTGTAATTTGTATTATAAAAGTTTAGTTTCCAGAGAATATTAAGTACCTCTTAAAATAAACATGTGTGAATGCATTAAAATAATGATAAATAAGATAAATATTTTTTAATTATTGAAGTAATTTTTCTTATTTTTGGTCAAAATTGTTAAAGCGCCTTTTTTTTTTAAATTTTGAATTGTTTTAAAGAGGAAAATAAATGATAATAAATTCGTAAATTTAAAAAAAGAAAGGCAATCAAAATAACATAACCTTCCATATATTAAAATTCTTTTTTCTAATATTTATGCGGAAATTTTATTACAAAAATAAACATGACATAAAATTTCTTCAAAATACATGTAATTGATGAACATATCTTTAAATGATGTTATAATTTTACCTTTACAGGTAATGAATAATTTAATAAAATTTTTAAGTATAAAATATTTCACATTGTTCAAATGCATCACCACTTCCATTTATTTGGATAAAAAGTAACTGAAAAATTTGGTAATAAATATTTAGGTAAAAAATATTTTAGTTTCTTCTAAAGAAATTCTTTTAAGAGCTGCGTAAATGAAATGTTTATATACTTTTTAATCATGAGGCAATATACTACATACTCTTTAATATTTAATCTCGAGAACATGCTTATATAATTCAGAATTAAAATATAGTGATATAATGCAAATTATTTCCAGTGCATGATTGTTTCTTTTGCAAAATATTTTCTTAGGATATATCCTGGTTTGATGATCCAAAAAATGGAGTGGGATCACTGTGCACTCGTTTAACATCTGATGCTTCAAGTGTTCAAGGGGTGAGAATACTAAAGTACTTTTTTTTCATTTTAATTAATATCAGAAACAGGAAGTGAACTTGCAGTTTTTAATGATCATGATCTTTCATTGCATTAAATGAAGTTTTTTTGTTCAAGCATTTTCTGATTGATGTGTGTAAAATTTTTAATCATGGAATATGCATTTCTGGAAATTTTATTTGTAATGATCTTTCATTTCAACAGCTGAAAAGCTGTATAAATTAAATTAGTGTTTATATATAATGCTCTGCTTTCATTATAAATGATTTAAAAGGTTGATTGCTTTTATTGATCTTTAATTTTATAAGCAAATTACCTTTTAAAATGCATTTTTCTCAGCAACAATTATAATTTACTATTCCTGTCAATATCAGTCAAGAAAATAAAATTAATTATGATATGTAAATTTTAGTTGTTAGATGCCTATGATATGTAAATTTTAGATTATGATAACTTGTAATGTATGTTACTCAGATATCATATAGATATTTTTTCTTCCTTAGGCCACTGGATCTCGTATATCAACTGCTCTTCAAGCTCTATCAACCCTTATTGCAGCTATTGTTATTGGTCTTTGGTTCAACTATAAAATAGGAATTGTTGTCTTATGTTTTGTTCCATTGGTTTTATTGGCAACTTATTTTGAAAGCCGTGTTATCAGTGGCCACATGTTAAGTGAAAAGTCTGGCACTGAGCAAGCTTCAAAGGTATAATTTTTTTTTATTGTAAAATACACTTTATTTTTGCTGTAATAAGGAGACTGTGTTAATATACCTTTATTGATGAATGTATTTGACATTATCAGGTTAGGGATATTTTTAAATTCTTAAAAATTTTGAATGGTTATTGTGATTACTGCCAAGCCTTAGTAGGGTCAAAACATTGTTAATGAAATCAGCACTATTAAGTTAATGAATTTTGATTTCGTATGCGCATTTAATAGACAAAAAAGAATTTTTAAGCATATATTACCATAATCTTTTCTGAACGAAGATTTAATTATTTAAAAAATTTTCTTTTAATTCTGAAGTAAATTTTAAAAAATCTAATAAAAATTTAATTTATATGTAGAAATAATAATAATTTATTAATTTTTACTAATAAATTACAAAATATGTTTTTAATGTTTAAATGAAAATCAGTTCGTACAGAAACTTTCTCAGAACACGTTTCATACAGAAATTTTATCTTTTAATATTAAATCAAAGAAATTTCATATAACAGAATAACAGAATTTTATCTTTTAATATTAAATCAAAGAAATTTCATATAACAGAATAACAGAATTTTATGTTTTAATATTAAATCAAAGAAATTTCAAATATTTGACTAAATTGAGAATAAGTTTAATTTTACTTACCTAAAAAATAAACGTTTAAAGTAAAAAGAGTCCCAGATATGTTTAATTATTGTGTATTAGGAGAGAATTTAAATAAACGGATAAATAAAAATAAAATAAGTTTTTTTTTTTAAATCGCTATCTTGAAGCAAATACATTGTATATCATTTTGCTTTAAAATAAACAGATTTTGTGAATATTTTGAATAAGTTTAATTTTACTTACCTAAAAAATAAACATTTAAAGTAAAAAGAGTCCCAGATATGTTTAATTATTGTGTATTAGGAGAGAATTTAAATAAACGGATAAATAAAAATAAAATAAGTTTTTTTTTTAAATCGCTATCTTGAAGCAAATACATTGTATATCATTTTGCTTTAAATTGTTTTCTAAAATAAACAGATTTTGTGAATATTTTGAAGCACTTTTCATGACATAACTTCCTTACAAAATATGTGTGTTTAACAGAAGTAAAAGTAGATAAATTAATAACAGTTTAAGACATAATCAATGAGAAACACACTGCTAAAACAATTGGATAAAGCAAAGCACAATCAGTTCTTCAGCAGCTTGTTAGAGATTCTGTTAGTTACACTTTGAAAAAAAGTTTTTGTGGATATATGCTGTATTTTTTTCAATTCCATTGCACACCCATTCATTTCAGTATCACCTACAGAATGAAACATTTTGACACTAGGCAAGTAAAATGCAAATAATTAAAAAGCTCAACTATATTTAGCAAATATTTTTCAATAATTGATTTTAATAAATACCATATCCATTTGAATTAATAGTTTGTAAATGTAAGTTACTTGGGAAAAAATCTAATTCTAAGACACCATTGATAATAAGATGTACACCATTTTTAATGATGTTTATATAAGAGTGCATTAGATTACAGAACTTCTAGTATTTGTTTGTCTTGTGATAAATTTACTTATTATTTAAATAAATTAGAAATGTTATGTCCTAAATTTTATTGTTTAAAATTTCCTTAAATTTGTTGTTGGTAGATTTCAGGTTTGCTTATTTTGTTTTTCTTTCATGAAACATGTTTGTTATAATAATGTCTAAAAAGGTTTAAAAGATAAATATTTAGTTTGGGATTTTATATAATCAGAGGTAAAAACTGTGCATTAACATTTAGTTTACCTGCAGTAACATCCCACTTTAATTTCAGGTAGCTATTGAGGCTATTGACAGCATAAGGACAGTTGCCTCACTGCATAAGGAAGAGGCATTTTATATTCAGTTTAGGAATGCACTATTTGGGCCACACAAGTAAGTTTAATTTTATTTATTTCAGATTTATGCATTATTTTGTAACATTGCATAATGCGTAATGTGTTTAGACTGGCAGTTTAGCATGTTTTTCATTAATTATCTGCTAGTGTAATTCAGTATTTAATATATGGTAAATAATTTAGCATAATAATTCTGAAATTGTGTGACTGCATTTTAGATTCAGGTATAATATATTTTTGTATAGAAACATTGTATAAAATTTTTCAGAAAATCTAGGAAAAATTCTCAAATCAGAGGTGTAACATTTGGATTTGCTCAAAGTATACCATCCTTTGCTTATGCTTGTTCAATGTATTATGGAAGTGTTCTAGTTGCAGAGGGAGAACTATCTTATCCAGATCTCTTTAAGTATGTTTTTTTCCCCATTAGTTTATCCAGTTTAAACTGTTTATTGAAACATAAAATATATATTGATTTCTTGCATGTAAATATAAGAATGTGATATGTGCTTTGATGTTTGTAAATTTATTTTTATTTACTGGTCTTTGTTTATTTTATATTATTTATATTATTACTGATAGTTGATAAATGTTTCCCAAAAATTGAAATTAAAGTTAAGATTTATGTGCATTTTGTTAGATACTGTAACAAAAAAGCTCATTCTAAGTTGTGTAAATATGCAGGACAAGTTTTGGAGGTTCTACTTAACCTTCGAAATTACTCCTGCAAAGTTACATAATGTATGTTGATCTTTGATGCTTGCAGTATCTTTAACCCTCTGAGCGGCCTGGTTTTTGGATCTGTCATGAAAATGTGTATTTAAAGGGCCTTTTCCAATTACTTGATGAAAAAGATATGAGTAGGGGGAAAGAATTCATGATAACTTTAAATTGTTAAGGAAGATTTTTCTCTTTTAAAACTGACAATGCATCATGGCTTGATGTATCTTTTGCCTCAGCATCCAATTCATAAATCAAAGCTTCATCTAAATAAAAATACTATCACTGAGTTTTCTTAACTGTAAAATAGCATCAAAGAGAGATAAAATTACTGTAATTTCGCATGTATAGTCCGCAAACACGATTTTATATAAAAAAAATTTCAAAAATCGTCAGATAGTCCGCTCTATACTTCCAAAATTACGTTTTTTTAATACGGCAACATTAATGTATTTTAGAACTAAGTATAAATAGAAAAAAAGTACTTACTTACTAATATACCTTCAGAAATAAAACACTAAATACAAATAAAAAACAGTGCTTACTAATTAATCATATATTAATTAATCACACATTCTACTACATTCACGAAAACCTTCAAAGTTTGATTCATCAGTATCAGAATTAAACAGTTCTAATATATTTTTGGGAAGAGTGTCCGAAAGCTCATTTTCAGCATCACTATCTTCACTGTCAGTGATTTCCTCGTTTCCACTAACAATCTTGGCTTTTATAAATTCCAATAGGATGGTTGACACTTTAACACTTTTCCAGGATTTATCGACCCATTCGGTAACTTCAGTGTATGAAGCGCGTCTCATATTTCCTCCTTTTGTGAAAGTATGTAAACCTTTCGACATCTAGATCTCCCAGCAAGCACGTACGTGGGACTTGAAACTTTTGTTCACGCTAATATCCAGTGGTTGCAGGATTTTTGTTAAACCTCCTAAAATAACGCCAAGTTCAGCACCGATTTTTTTTTTTTTTTTTTTTTTTTTTTTTAGCTTCCACCTTTACACTGTCTTTTATGTGTGCCCTCATGGAATCCATAATTAGTACTCCTTTGGAATTGAAAAAGGCACCTTCTCTCTTCTTCCAAACTTCTTGAAACCAATCGAGCATAATGTCCTTGTTGCACCAACCCTTTTCATTGCACCGTATTATGACACTTCGAGGAAAATTTTCCTTGGGAATTGTTTTTCTCTTAAAGATTAAGAGCGGCTTCAACTTGTGCCGTCAGCACAGCAGGCGAGCATCACTGTGAATTGGGTCTTTTCTTGACCAGTTGTTGTTATTGATATTGTTTTCACTCCACAAGTATCGACGGTGCGATTCGGTGGGCAATCAAATGTTAATGGAACTTCGTCCATATTTATAATATTTTTTGAGGAATACTTTCCTTATGCAATAACTTCCCTTTTTCACTGAAGGAAAGAAGCTTTTTTTCCATCTACGTCGTCCGGAACAGCCTGATACATTGTCGTTCTGCTGCGAACTCTCAAGTTTTTACAATGCATGAAGGAGTAAACCCAATTTATTCCTCCCTTGAAATCCGTTATCTGCATCTCTTCTTCCATGGACTTCGCTCGGAGACGGATTTTAACTGTTGAAATGGAGCGTCCGACATTTCTTTGGTCGAGAACCCATCTCAGTAAATTTTCCTCTAAAGCTGTTCATTTTACTTTTCCGTGCCGATTGGATCGCTTTCTTCCCATGCTTTTTAACACATCCTTTTGTTTGTGCCAATTTCTCACCACTTTCTCAACCACTTCAAAATAACAGCCTGCTTCTCTATTTCCATCTTTTTCAGCTTTCACAACTACCTTGAGTTTAAACTCAGCAGTAAAACTCCGGGGATGTTTCATCAACGTTATCGAAGATGAAAGACAAAATACGAAAACAAAATACTGTGCAACGTGCTATCCTTATGATAAGTGGTAATGAAATGTGACCTTCGACCCCACTCATTCGGTGTTGCCAAACCACGCTATAAGTAAACAAATCACGCTTTTTTTCGTACTCCAGGTACTTGCCACTAAGGCTCCTAAAAACCGAGCTGACGCATCAACTACTTTTCCCCCTCCCAGCAGTTGCGCTAAAGCAGTGCGAAGGATACTGGGATACAAGACTCTGGTTGCGCTAAGTGAGTGCTCATATCCCGGTATCACTTGATGCGCCAGCCTGGATTTTAGGAGCTCTACTTGCTACTACTCATTCGTTCTGCACTATGCTCTATGGTTTACTATTGATACGATACATACGAATGTTTTCTTGGAATCTTGTGCTTTTTTTATATTTGATCATCCGCAGTTCATGACAGCGTGTTTTTTAAATTTCAATGATTTTAACTGTGAACAATCAGCGTATTATCCGCACTGGTGGATAGTCCGCAGCTTCAAAAATTCGCATTTTAAACACAGATAGTCCGCGCACTATACGCGCAAAATTACGGTACTTAGATTTTAAAGAGATCAGACATCAATCAATCATCATGCTTATTTACAAAATTTTAAAAACTTTCGAAGGTATGCCCTAATGTTGATGAATTTGCAATTACAAGTGAATAAATAAAGATTTTGAATTAAGTGAATATAAAGATATCTAACACCTGTTTCCTAATTTGGCACAAAAGGAAACTGAAACAGAAGCTTATATGTAGGTTATTTTCAAGAAAATTAAGCTGTTGTATAAATGCTTACCGTAATAGTATTATGTAGCACAAATAAGAAGAAAGAAAATTCTGGTCCATCAGCTGTTTTCAGATTGTGCATTCAGCTCGCGGTTTGATTTTTTGCACCATTATTTTACTGTCGAAGGTTAACAGGCTGATTAATTAATTCTCTGGTTCAACTTTGAAAAATATTTTATGAGTTGTTGGTTAGAAGAAGAGAAAAATTTTGTAGATTTACAGATTGCTGAGCAACTGAAAGATTCATCTGCTCTGCTAAAATGAAATTTCAAAGCAGGAGTGATAAACTCATGGGTTGCATATAGTAACCAGAACCTGTTGAAGCATTTTATATCATATAATTGTAAAATAAGTGAAAGTAGTTCAGGAAGTATTGATTTTAAAAATGACAGCTGGCTGGAGGATTTTTGAGTGAATATGACCACTTTATTTATTAACTCTCTGAGTGGCAAGGCCTTTTGGATCTGTTCCATGAAGACCTGTATTTAATAAGCATTTATTAGCTCAATTTGTAAAATTACTTATTTTACTCTTTGTTCATTGAAAGGATATTTATATCATTAAAGAAAGCAAAATATTTTAAATCATAAGCTAATATGTACTAAGGGGCAAAAAAATTTCCTAATCAGATAAAACCGGCCTTGCCACTCAGGTAGTTAATGCCATATTTATTTGTTTGTTTCTCCTTGAGTATTCCCCCTCTACTCCTTTGACATATGATTTATAAACTTGTGATTTATGGTAATAGAGTAAAATATATACACAAAAGCAAATGCTTTGTATAACTAAAAAGAATATTATTAAAATTAATAACCTTAACTCACTTCTTTCAAAATACAATAATATTAATACAGTCAAAGCTCAACTGTCTGGAAGGTTCGATAAATGCCAAATTCTGGGTAATTAAGCTTATAAAATAAGCAGTTCATGGTAAAAAAGCAATTGGAATGAAAAGCCAAACGAATGGAAGAAAAATTTCCAGTATAAAATTATAAAAAGAATTATTTTATGTGTTATCAATTTGAATATCAAATGCCTACATGTAAATTATATGAGATTTCGAAAGCAAAAAGCTATTCTAGACACAAATGCCGAAGTAAAACATCACGATTAGGAAATTCTCGATTCACGATTAGGAAAATAAAAATTGGCAGAGATCCCAAACTTGCACCAGTCATTGTGGCTGTAGTTTGAAGGACCAAATTGTTCATTATTTAGTTAGATAATCAACGTATACAAGTTATGGACACAACATATGAAAAACTTAAACCATTTGTCATAATTTTTCATATTGAATAGCCAGTGTTTATCCATTTTCATATAAGCTGCATTTTTCATGATCCCATAATTCAAAAAATACTCTGCTGTATGCTGTTCCATTGAAGGAAAGTCCCAAATTTTAATCATTTTTTTTTTCTAGTATGATTGAACAGGTTAGTAGTACAGAAATAGTAGATTGAAAGATTATGAATAATAAGATAATAATAGACTGAAAAACAAATAAATAGTCATTAACTTTTATCAATTTTTTTCAAAATTAAACTGCCTTATTGGGAGTTATAAAGTCAAGGTGAGGATCTTGCAACTGGGTTGTGACATCACACTTATCCATTATTGGCACTAAACTGCACTGTTTGGTGATAGTTTTTGTTTGATTCAAGTCAGAGTCCTATTTCTTTATGACAGAGCTACAAATCTCTTATTTGCTTAATTTTTCATTAAAAAGTTTCTAAAATTTGAAATTATTCTGGTTACTTGAATTTGCTGGTTAGCTAAATATCAGATAGTTAGCCTTATAGTGTAAGATTATAATCTTTTAAATATACTATGTTCATCATGTAAGCCTTTGCAATGGTACATACTATATATTTTTTTCTTCTCAGTTCTCAAGTGAAAAGATTTATAAAAATGGAGACAAACTATACAAATTAACTGTAGTAATACCTGCTTTATAGTAAATGAAATAAGCATGCCTTTCTTAGGGTGAAAGAACTATTATATGTTTCAAGCATTGATAGCAGCGAAAAATAGTGGTGTAGATTATTATTTTATGAAAAGACTTTGAGAATAAATTTCAAGACATGAAAAAATTGCTTTTTAATATGTCTGTTATTGCCATTCTTAACTTCTTTCTTCTATCAAACTTAACTGAGAATTTTCAATGAAATACATAAATAATATTGCAGTCATATACAAATTATTTTTTGAAAACATTCCTTGTTCATAACATGCCTTCTTGAAAGCATCTATGTTTGCAAGCAGTTATTTTTCCCTCTCATATGAAGCATATAAAAATAAATTTTGAATAAAATTTCCAAAGAACATCATAAATTTACTCACTATAGTCACTACCATATCAATCAAATTACGTATACATGCGGTAAGGAGGTTTACTTTTGTCTGAAGGAATATAATCAACATATTGATCAATAAACTGTGTATAATTTTCTGTAACTAACCACAAAGGATGTATAAAAATAAGAGGAAAACATCATAAAGTTTAATCTGATATTTCTGACAAATGTTGGAATTGAAGAAGAATAATTTTTTTTCATTCATCTTTCCTAACTCTTAGAATTTTTTGCATTTTTAATATTTTATAGAAGTGTAATAAATGACAGCCTTCTCATTTGCTATGTTGCATTAATTTTGTTATTTCCTTATTGTTATTGCTATTGGTGTTCTTATTAAGTTAAATATGATAATAAAATGTATTGATTTTTTTTATTTTCAAAAATTAGTAATTGTTAAATGTTCTTAAGATGCAAATTTTATGAAAATATTTATTGTAGTTTTTAATTTAAACTTTGGATATTTTAAGTCAATTTGACACAAAAAATTATAACCGTAATGTGTTGTTTTTATGAAAAAACATATTTGTATTCTTGCACTGCTTGGTAAGAGTACTTATACAGTGAATTTACACATAGGGTTATTGAAGCGGTTATTTTGGGTACGGCTATGGTTGGTCAAGCAGTAGCCTTTGCACCTGATTATCAAAAAGCAAAAGTTGCTGCTGTGCGTATATTCAAACTTTTAGATATAAAGCCAAGCATTGACATATTTTCTACCGCTGGTCGGGTTTTGGTAAGCACAGTTTATGTTTTTTTCCATCCTGCTTTTTATTTATTTATTAATTTTTTATTTTGTTTATATTCGTTTATTTATTTATTTTTTTTAATTCATCAAAGAAGTAATTAGCCATTGAAGTGAATTATACAACCATTTATAAATATTTTCTCTGTAATGATTAATTTATATATTTGGATGGAGTTAAAAATTGCTTTGTTTCCTAAGTGTGACCTAAATAAATTTATAATGCTGTAAAAATATCATTTAGATTTATAAATTACATTTTTGATTATAGCAAATAATAAAAATATGTGTGCATAGTAAAGTTAACAGACTTTTTATAATAATGATAATGCAAACCTATCTTAAGCATCAGGTGTCTACATTCTTTGCTCTCTAAGCATTTTTTATAGGTTGTGTTTTTTTATATTTTAGTACATGTCAAAATGGAGTGGTGAATATGGAAGAGTTGTTATGTGAAAGTTATAATTCATTAAATTGTTTGAAAGCATCACACTTTTAAATGAAGTTTTCCAAGAGCAGTTTCATAAATTGAGTCTTTATTGTGGTAATAGCTGTATTTAATTAGAAATGCCATTTCCTATCGTCATTCCAAAAGTTTGAAAGTAACCTGCAATTGAACTTCATAAGCTACTCTACATATGATAGTTCTGTCATTTTATTTATTAAAATGTTACCTTTCTATATCATTTTTTAAAATGCTAAATGTTTGCAAGTGTAGTGTAAATAGAGTGATAAAAAATTTCAGAATAATTTATTTATTTATTTATTTTTTTTTTTCTTTTTTTTAAAGCATATCTTATTGTATACACATTGGATACAATATGGTAAATGATCCGTTCTACTTTAATACTTTTCTGAGAAAATTTATCAATTCAATTTGACAAGTGATTCCAGTTTTCAAGCAGTCGATCAATATAGTTCTTTCAGTTCTGATATATCTGCATGTGGATCGAATTTATTGTTTGTCTTATCATTATATGGCAATTTAAGTTAGTTACGGAGAATGACAAGTCTACTTTACATTTGATATTTTCAGAGGGAGTGGATTTTGATGTTTTCGCAAACTAAAACCAGATGTTGAATGCAATACATTATTTCCCATGCATTTAAGAGGCAGAAAAATAACAAATAGGTTATTTATTGTTCTACACATGTTGGGACTTTGTGAAACAATATTTGTTTTCATTACAAAGTATATAGTTTACTTTCTTGTCATTTATTTTATTTTAAATATATAGCATTATCCATAGGATTATTAAGTTTGCATGAAAGTGAAACAAATAGCTATTTACAAAAGTACTGAAAATGACCTGTATGTACTGCAGTTTATGAATCCATCAGGCAGTATATTTTTCTCACTACTCAGGCCCTCCCCCCCCCCAAAGTGCTGATTAGGATATTGTATGTCTCTGCTTATAGTACTGTTTGACAGACCTTTCAGCTTCCAACAAAGAAAATGTCTGTTCTTGCTTAAGACTCATGATGCACTGTCTTTTCTGCTCATCTCCTGCTCACTTTGTCATTCTGCCTTGTTAGGTGTATGAGCATTTAACCAAAGCTCATCCAATCAAACATATAGCTGAAAAAGCAATATTCATAAATGTTTTCCAGTGTTAACAGCAAATGCCAGTTACATGCTTTCCAGCTGACCATGAGTGGTTGAAATCCAGTCAAACTCCCAGTAGTCATTCTGGTGTAAGTTTAAAGGAACGGATTTCTCTTTGTTGGGATTGCCTTTATTATCTGGTGCAACCAGTGTTTATGCATTTTCAATTAAAATTCCATATCATATCCGTTAACTTGCATTTTGTTTGTATGCTAGAATCTCATAACTTTAAAAACACTTCACTGAATTCATTCCATAAAAAATAAGCTCCAAACTTTAATTATAGCATAGCAGAAGCATTTAATTACATTTTAGCAGTTAACATATATACTTTTTTACAAAAATTAAACTGGCCTATCAAGAATTAATCAGGGTTATACAAAACCGGGTAAAAATATAAATATATTGTGATATCATAGATATCCATTATTAATGCAAATTACATTGTTTGGGTACAATATTTGTCTGTTTAAAGTGGCTGTAAGGAAAGTACATAAGTGCCCAGCAAATAATATTTGCAGTGAGAGTTTGGAAACTTTACAGTAGCACTGTATTAGCATTTGAGATGTGATTACTTAAGTATACCATTTCATTTGTATCTACACGTATTATTGTATTTGATATTTTTATTGTTTATTTTAAATTGTTTATTTTAAATATACATGTATGCATGCTGCTGTGTATATATGTAGATAGAGAGAATGCTTCTCACATTTTATGTCCATTTATTTAAATAAATTTCAATTAATAAGAAATTAAATATTTATAACTTAATTTATTTAAATTAATAATAAATTAAATAATTAGAAGTGAAATTTGTTCTTTTATTTATTTTCATCTAATAGGATGATGTAAAAGGATATATACGTTTCAAAAATGTGCGCTTTAACTATCCAAGTAGACCCAGAGTAAAAATTTTAAGAGGATTGAATCTTGAAATTGAGCCTGGACAAACTGTTGCATTGGTTGGTAGTAGTGGCTGTGGGAAAAGTACTTGTATTCAGTTACTGGAGCGCTTCTATGATGCTCAGCAGGGTGATGTGGTAAGCCATAAATAACTATAATCTAACTTTCTGTTTCTTATCTTCCTTTTCTCAAATATCTGATTGTACAGTATTTGAATAATTCTTTGTTCTTTAAATAATTTATTTATAATTCAGTATCAAAATTTTTTCTTGTGTCAGTTTTTGTGAAGTTTTCTTCTTACATTTGAATTGCAGGAGTTGTAAGCATTTGAATTCTTGTTGTAACTTCATAACTGAATGAATTCATGAAAAACAAATCCATACTAAAAAGATATGAAATGCATTCATGTCCCAAATTATCTTTACATGAATGGAATCACAGATCTCTCAGAAACTGTGAACTATAATTTTGTGTGGAATGCTACATAGCATTATATTACATAAATCCAAAGGAAAAAGAATTAAGAGCACTGCATATTATATACAACTGTAGCATGAAACAATCAAAATGGTAATAAAGTTATGGTGCTGGTTTAACACTATTATACTCTAGACTCTTCAGAAGGTCATTCAAGAAAGCCACGACTTGAATGATTCAGTATTAACTTTAGTTAACATATAAAAGATAAAAATGCATCTTGCAAGAGGCTAAATATTTCAAATGAACACAGTCATGAGCCAACATCAAACATCGACTGTGAACCGATAAAAGTGAATCTCTCAGCAAAAAAGTTCAAGTTTATGCCCTTGTGCTGTGACGAGCACACACGTACATTGTGCAGCAAAAATAGATGTTTCTACTCACTGCAATGAGAATTTTTTGTCATAGTACTCTCCTCCCAAATGCCAGAGGCACAAGTAGTCAAAGATAAACTTGACCCGTCAGCAAGAATGAATAATCTGCAGTCGTGGTAGTGTTTGGTTGGCTGGTACAGGTATTTCAACCATGGTGCTCGATGGATTTACTGTAGGAGTCCCTGTAAGAACATGAACTGATTTTGAAGGATCTGAGACTAAAAGTGCTGGCTTCAGGTGATCATTGCCAATCACTGATTCTCTTTCCTGAATAAGAAGTGTAAAATTTTTATTATTTTAAATGGACTATCATACAAGCGATCTGGTGGTTTCACTGCATTGTGCCTCACAAACATGTAAGTGCACCATTCTAAAGCTGGATGCATGAAATACTTATTGTTAACATGAGCTGATGTAGGTATTCGTCCCATCTCTCTCATTGTCTCACACATCTTCTGTATAAATGAAATCGGGTCAAAGGAATTAGGAACTTGGGTGGATTGCAAATATTTTTGACGAATAGTAGTTCCATAAACCATTTTCGAGCAGGTTCCTCCCACATCTTCTTTATATGTTGCTCTAAGGCTGAGGAGTACAGCTGGAGGGCTCACTGTTCACTGGACATTATTATGGCAAATCAACACCTGTTTTAGTGACTGGGGAAAGCTCTCAAGTAATTCATTGGCTGCAAGTTGGTGTGGAGTAGGGCAAATTCAGTAAACACCAAATCTTTTATTAAGAATAGTGATTGTGTGTGACTCAAATTGTCTAACTTCACATTAAAATTGTTATTTTTAACCTCAGCCACAGCACACACCATTTGAAGCCTATTATTAGATCCAGTTTTAGCAGACGAATTTTCAACAATTTTTGGCAACGTTTTGGTTTTCTTATTTTTTACACTGGAGATAGCTGATGCTGGATTTACACAAACAATTTCATGATGTTTACCATGACAATTTTTGCAGGAAACTTATATTGTTGTTGCAATTGATTGCTAAATTTTTACATCCAAAACACAGAAAACACCTTCCAGTACATTTCAAAATGTTGTATTTCTCTTCAGAGCTCACTTCAGTACATTTATATTTCATATGGTCTTCTTTATCACAAAATATACTTTTGTACTTACTCATTGACAAGACTGAAGCAATCGGAACTTTTAGTTTATAATTTGGATAAGCTTTTGTATGTCGTTCATGATGACGAATGCTTGATTTTTCATTGGTTTTTGTAGAGTTAATTAAACTTGCAGCTTCTTGGCAATTAACTTATGACTATGAAAATTATGTCCCAAGGCAGAGGTTAGCTCATTAAGTTGCTTAGTCAGTTGTGCTACCTGAAGCTCTGAATGAGTTGTAGCAGATTGTTTTGCTCAGTAATTTTGATAGCCATATTCATATAAGAATGAGATGTGAGCTCAGTAATCTTATCAACAACTGAAACCAATTTGCACAAATCATCTTCACTTGAGAACAAACTCCTAAGATAGATTGTGTATTATTAGGGAGTCTTGCAAGCCACAAAGATCTTAATGAGAGTTCACCTACAGTATCACCTGCTAAAGAATGCATATGAGTTAGCAACTGAAAAGGGCATTGGTCACTTTGCTTTCAGAATATATTGTATTCAGTCTTTGTTTTAGGATATCATATTTTCCAGTAGTGGAGGTTTTAAAATGATATCACTAACAGAATTAAGTATGTCAGAATCCACAGCAGTAACAACATGGTTAAATTTTATTAAATCCAAACTTATACTGGAAAGAAAAAACTGCAATTCCAATCTAACCAAACCATAATGTAGGACTTATTTTCCAAAAAGGCGGTAATTTTACTGTAACATGGGATATCTGCATAACTGCTATATTTTCAGGTGGAAAATTATCATTAGAATTTTCATTATGCAATATGGCTATTAAAAATTAGAGGAAGATGCAATGAAAATAGTCTTGAAACAGCATTTAACATTTAATCACTAAAAGCATGGAATCATTTTTTAGATTGCTGCCACCAAATATTATGACCCTGTATTACGAGGGCTATCCAGAAAGTAGATTACGTTTTGGAATAAAAAAATAAAGTATAGGAAACAATTTTATTATATACAGATGAAAGCCACACTCAAATACTACTTTTCTACATAGTCACCATACAAATTAAGGCATTTATCGTAGCGATGTACGAGCTTGGAAATTCCTTCGTCGAAAAATTCGGCCGCCTGCGCCTTCAACCACTTCGTTACCTCTTCTTGCAGCTGTGCGTCGTCATCAAAACGCTGCATAGCCAGACACTTCTTCATTGCTGGGAATAGGTGGAAGTCGCTCGGTGCCAGGTCGGGACTGTACGGCGGATGAGGAAACAACTCCCACTTAAAAGATTCAAGAACTTTACGAGTGACATTTGCCGTGTGGGGCCGGGCGTTGTCGTGAATCAACAAGATCTTAGAGCTCAACATTCCTCTGCGCTTGTTTTGAATTGCTCTTCTGAGTTTTTGGAGAGTTTGGCAATACCTTTGAGAGTTTATTGTAGTGCCTCTTTCCAGGAAGTCCACCAAAATTACACCTTTTCTGTCCCAAAAAACAGTCGCCATCATCTTCCTTGCCGACATTGTTTGCATGCATTTCTTGGGTTTTTGGGGAGAACTTGTGTGCCCCCCACTGCATTGATTGCAATTTCGTTTCACAGTTCACATGTTTCACCCATGTTTCGTCACCAGTAACGATGGCGATCGAGTAAAAAGTCACCATCCTTATGGTAAGCGTCCAAAAAGTTCAACGCTGCAGCCATTCGCTGATTTTTGTGGTCCTCTGTCAAGATTTTTTTGGAATCCATCTTACACAAAACTTGTGGTAACCAAGCTTTTCGCTGATGATTTCGTGCAACAAACTTCGCGAAATTTGTGGAAAACTCAAAGAAAGTTCCGTTATTGTGAAATTTCGATTTTCACGGACTTTAGCATCGACTTTTTCGAGAAGTTCGGCGGTCACTATGCTGGGTCTCCCACTTCGATCTTCGTCGTGAACATTGGTTCGGCCATTTTGAAATCTTATGACCCACTGACGCACTCCACCTTCAGTGATAATGTTGTCCCCATACACTTCACGAAGCTGCCGATAGATTTCTATCGGTTTACAGTTTTTGCAGTCAGAAACCTTATTACTGAGCGCACCTCGCAGGATTTTCAATTAACGCAGACATTTCAAACCGTCACAGTATCTGAACGGAGCACAGCACGAACCTCTCACTAGCACGGCTAGATGCAGACTGAGCTGCGCAACGCTCTGACCCCAAGATGGCCGCGCTAGCCCCGCCCCTAGCGGACACAGACGGAAACGTAATCTACTTCCTGGATGGCCCTCGTATATTTAAATATATTAAACAATGAAGAATCTGCATGAATGTATGTATATTATTCACACTGTGAAAAAACAACAGTATCTAGAGACATGAAATTTTGAATAGGGTAGACCTCCACCCGAATATGGGCATCTGGATGCCTGAATTTTGAATTTGTTTTATTATCTATTTCATATTTTGTAAAATTTTAACAAATTTTTTTATTAAAAAAACTCAACAATTTCAATGCGAACAGTTGTGAGACTGTCTAATGGAAATTCTAAAGATATGCTGTTTTTATTTTTAACCCAAAGGGGCATTAGACCAAATTATCAAAACATGTACTGTATGAGTGTGTAAATGAAAAAAATGCCTCTTTGGGTGTAAAGCTTTCACTATTTTTTTTACTCTTTAATTCCAAAGAGCAATCATATGTAAAATAATTTAACCCTCCTTACATTCCATAAGACATGATAATTTTAAAAAAGTAATCTATTGTCAACACTGTCACTAGAAGTGATAAATACTTTCACTAAAATATTCCTGTTATATAGCTCCAAAAAAGAATCATTTGTGCTGATGTAATACCACTGTGAAATCCTAAATTTTATCCAACTTGCTCTAAAAGACTTCTCTCCAAACTGTTTGTAAAACTCCAGCTTACTTTGTTTCATTTTGTGCAAAGTGCACAATTAAAAGACATAACAACTTGATTTGCACATTGGAAACCATTTAATTTCTTTTGATTAGATAATGCTAGTTAAGCTTGTCTCCCACACATTCTTTCTTTAAAGTTTCCAATATGTGAACAATTTATTCTTCAAAATAGCATTTCACTTCAGCCTTTATAAAAAAAAAAATTTCTGCTGAATAAGTATATTTTTATTAGTTATTGGGGAGAGAAATGTTTACGTAAGTTTGCTGAGATGAAAATGAAAAAAGGCAGTGGGTAATCTTTTCATTGTTTTGGAATGACTCACCCAGCTGCTTTCCAAAATAAATAAGAGATTTTTTTTAATCTTGATTATTAGACTAATTATTAAAATAATTAATTTTCCTATTACACTTTTTAATCTGGCTGATTTATGCCAAAGGCTTCTAATTTCTAAAAACAAGGAGAAAATCATTTTAAATAGTTAAAATTATCATAAATGGATAAATAACTAACTAAATTTAGAATTTTATGTCTTGAGAAAAAATGCCAAATATTTTTTTAAATGTTACTTCTCTAGGCCTTAAATTCTATTGCACTTTTTTTAGTGATAGAGAAATGGATTATTTAATGAAATCTCATGAATGAATACTTTTTTTCTTTTTTGTTTGATATTTGCAAAGTTTGAGTTTTCTCGTAAATATAAAAGCAGTCATTCTTTGTTTGATCTATTTAACTTACATTTAAATTAATGCAGTTTTACTCTGTTATTTTTTAATGTATATAATATATACATGTGTGTGTAAGATAAAAAAAATCTGATGGAATTAAATAAGAAACTTGAGATGCAGACTTTAAGTTGGTATTTTATGTTGCCTATATTTTTATCTTATATGTATATATTTATGTTTATCTTAGATGAAATTATGGACTATATTAGTAGAATAGCTAACATGTTGTTGTTATTTTTATGGATATAACAAAGTTTTATAAGAAATAAATTTAAATATATTTTTATTTATTATGTCTAATGTTGATAGAAAGTAATTGATGAACATAAATGATTACAATGAAAATTAAATGTATGAAAACAAGTTTTCTGATGTAGAGGCATATAATAGCATATTTTTGTTTATTTGCAGATGTTAGATGATGCTTGTGTTAAAGACATGAACATTTCAAATCTAAGGTCGCATATTGGTCTTGTTTCTCAAGAACCTGTTCTGTTCAGTTGTAGTCTTGCTGAAAATATTGCATATGGGGACAACTCCAGAAAAGTTGAAATGCATGAAATAATTGCTGCTGCTCGACAGGCTAATATTCATAACTTTATTGCTTCTTTACCTCAGGTGAGTATGTTTCTTTCTTACCTTAAATTATGCAGTATTTGTATCATAGTATTCAAAATCCAAAAAGTGTACAAATTTTAAAATATTGAAATTTTTTGACAGCTATGTCCCTTTTCTTGCAAAGAATATTTGTTTGTCACTCCTATGGGCAATTGACTAATGAATTATTCTTCAGTTACAGATGTAGATAATATATTCATATCAAATAAATGAATTATTAGTTTTGATATAAATTATTTTATAAATAGCATCATTAGTATATTTTAAAGTTTAAATTAAGAATTGTTTTTCTTCTTATAGTTCTTAATTTAACAATGAGAAAATTTAGTTAATAATTATAAAGGACATAAGCTAATAAGAATATAAGTTTTTAAAAGTGCTACTAATATTCTTTAATGTAATAATGTAGTTGCTACTATATTTAATTCCATTTTTCTTGATTTTAAAAATTTTAAATACAATTCTTCAAATTAGAAAATGTGATACTGCACATTTCATATTTTTCTATTATTTCAATAAGTTTTAATTTAACTTCATCTATTATATTTATTCACTATTTTCCTGATATATTTTTCTACTGAGTGGAGAAATGTCCTTTAATTTCATAAAATGGTAATTCAAATCTTTTAAGCAAAAATAGGTATAATCAGAGGGAAACTGCTGAAAAACTCAATGCAGTCAATAATTTGTAACTCTTATCCATAAATACTTGTTGAAAATGGGAATTGTACTCAATCTGAAAAGCAAAATGTAATTTAAAAAAAAAAAATGAAAATGACTGCAAGGGGATAAAGAAAATTGGTGAAAATATGCATAATAAATAGAAAAACTTAATTCAGTAGTTTTAAAAAATCAGTTAACTATATGGATTTGAATATATCAGCTAGGTTAACAAGAAGAATGTTATTTTATAAAGCATTAAAAATTTTTCAAGCTTAAATAAATGTAGGCTGAAATTAACTTGCTATGCCTAAAGGTGATATGAGCTAAACAGATTAAACAGTGAGATATTACAGAATTAAATCAAGTCTATAAGACATTGCTTTGAAACAAAAGATCAGATGTTTATGTTTTAAAAATACAACTTAACCTCCTGAACAACTTTGTATCGGGAAAAAAAAATTTTTTTCATGTGTAATAATGCTGCATTCTGACTCGTGGCATAATGCATTATGCCATGTCACAGAATATGTTTCTTTCTTTTTTAAAAAGAATTAAAATAATGTTAAAGTGTTACCTTGGAAATAGTCCACATACAAATACAATCAAAAATTTGTGGTCAGCTATAAAAGAAAACTGAAGCAAAAGAGAATAATCATTAGAAGAGTCCATCTAAAGTGTAATTCAAATAGGGAATTAGACATAGATATTAAAAAATAGAAATTATTAATTAAATGGTTCTTATTTTATGTTTGTAAAATGCTTAATCTGAATTAACACTCTTTACTCAAATATAAACTTCTGATTTCACTGTTCATTGAAATAAAAGATTTTGTTACATTTTTTCAATTTAGTTTTAAAATTATTTGGAATGCAAAAAATATTTTCTAGAATTTTAAATTATTCAATCTAGTGTGCACTTCATCTTGAAGTGAATGGCTCACATCATGTAATTACATCAAGCAGTTTAGTTTGAAAAGCTTTTATGAAATCAAAACTTAGTGAGTTAGTTACCATATACCACAATTTACTATTTTATATATATTCTGAGCAAACTTCACTTCGAAACAGAAGCTGAAAAAAGGAACAAAACATTTCAAATAGGAAAACTGTGTTGATGACCCTCCAACTATAAGGTTTGATTTATAAATTTACTGGTTAGTTATTATAAATCAATACTTTACTTGACTATGTATCATCAGTAATATTAGAGTAATATTATAACAGTTATGAGAAATATACATTATTTGTATTATCTCAACATTCATTTATATTGTCTTAACATTCTTTTATAAGTAACATGTTCAATAAGTTGTATTATTTTTTCTCATAATCTTAGGGCTATGATACTCCAGTTGGTGACAAAGGTGCTCAACTAAGCGGAGGCCAAAAGCAGCGAATTGCAATTGCACGTGCATTGTTGCGTAATCCAAAAATACTGTTATTAGATGAAGCAACCTCAGCTTTGGATGCGGAAAGTGAAAAGGTATTTTATCAAAGTGACTTTTTATCACTTTAAAATTTTCTAGTAGTTTCCAGGTCTACTTGTTAACCCTCTCACTGCATATTTTTCTTATCAAAATAGGTTAAAAAATTGCATATTTTTTTTATTACATATTTCAAATCTACATATATTTTAAAGTTAAAAATATACACAAATTTTTTGTAAAGAGTTTTTTTTTTTTTTTTTTAATATAGAATTAGATCATAGAAAAAGGTTGTCAGAATACTGAAATTGAAGAATAATTATATAAAGGAAAATTTTGAAATTAATATTGGTTAAATTATATTTATTTTATAAAATAACAAAGGTAAAACATATATACTAATGAAAACATTTGCATAATGTAATATTTTGCATATCAATTTTGCACCACTGTAGAACGTTTTCAATAGAAACTGAATTTTCAGTTTCATCACTATCTGCAGAGGAATCCGAGAAATTCTCATCAGTTTCACTATAACTATCTTCAGTATACTTGAAATCAGAGTCAAAACTACTATCAGTGTCGCAAATATCATCAGCAATATAGGCTATATCACTCGCGAAACGCTTCCTGCCAGACATCTTTGAGCTCTGAAAAGTGCATGCAAAATGCTGCATTACGTATTCTTCTATATTTGGCAGAAATGTGGGCAATTAATGCCATCTGTTAGCCCACATATAAATAAATAATTAAACATTACAGAAAAGCCGAAAGGAAACCTTGAATGGGAAAAGAGCGGGTTGCACAGTTAAATAGATGGCAAAAATTTATCCCTGTGGAAATCGCGGGTTGCACAAATTTTGCTGCTTCTATGTTGTCTGTGGAAATCGTGGGATGCGCAGCGAGAGGGTTAAAGAAGGGACATACAAAGTTTGGTGAGAAATGTTTTCAGAATTAATGAACTTATAATTGTTTACTTGTGGATCCTCTGGAAATAACATTAATAAGAAAACAAAAAAAAAAAAAAAAAAAATTTCGAACATTGCAAATTTGAATACTATTTATATAACTTTCATTTCAAAACTTATATATGCTCATGTTAAAGTAGGTTTTCTGAAATTTTACATTTTTCATGATACTTGTGTATGTTCACAGAATTACTGGTCATTAAATATCTCAATATTAAACGTCTATTAGCTGTTAATTTAAGTATGGAAATTTAATATAAATAGGTAAAATTTATTTTTAAAATTAAATGTTATATATTTTTATGAACAGGTTGTCCAAGAAGCTTTAGATAAAGCCAGTAGTGGACGAACATGTCTTGTCATTGCCCACAGACTTTCTACAATTCAGAATGCTGATACAATAATAGTTATCAGTCGAGGACGTGTTGTTGAAAAAGGAACTCATCAGGAATTATTAAACAAAAAGGGACTTTATTATAATTTGCATAATACGCAAGCAGGAACTCGATAGTGATATGATATGACTGTTTGTATCATAATGTACAAAAATTTCATCTGTTTTTCATAATCCATTTTATGTTTTTTTTTTGTACATAATTATTATTTATAAATCTTTATGTGAGATTTAAGCTAATTGAGCCAAAAATATTTTTGCAAAATGCAGAAATAGGCAGCCATAGACAATGTACTTATTCCTTTAATCATTAAGAATTTATTTGCATTTATTTGTTTTGTCTCTTGGTGTTAAGAATGTGTTTTGTAGCAGATATATGTATTTACTATGATACTATGATAAACTTGATCTTTAGCTAATTCAAGCAGTACTATAAATTGTGCTTCAAACTATAAAACTTACCAATGAATTGTTTTCTTAACTTGTTGATTCGTATTTTTTATATTTCTTAATGTTATAGTTTTATTTATGACATCATTAAAGATTTGAATACTTCATAATCCAAAATGCTTATTGAAGTATATTTGACTTTTCTATTAATACTATAATAGAATATTTGAAAACTATTTTTCTTGTAGAATTTATTTTTAAATCATAGTAAAGATTTGTGTGAATGTGCCTTGCTTAGTATTTTCTATTTCAGACAATGCTATGAAACTTGTTTTTTTAAGTAGTATGAGTGAAATTAATCTTGTGAAATTAAGACTGCGCAATTTTTATTTGTGTATGTAAATACATTTTGCTGTAAAGCAATTGCTTGAGTTTTATGTGTGATATAATATTTAATCAAATATGCAAGCTTTATGTTTATGTGTATTCATATCATTTGTTTGTATTATTGTTTTTATTTATATTTTTCTTTAAATAGATGATGATACTTAAAGCTGTATCATGAATATTTTAACTATTACTAGCAGAACTACTAGTTCTTTACTCAATGATTGTTAAATTACAGTGTTGATATGTGAATGAAATGCTGTGATAATTTTGTAGCTTAAATACTTAGTTGTATTTGCTTTTTTATGTTTAAAAAAAAATTCTGTTCTCTCTCTCTTCCTTTTTTTTTTTTTTTTTTTTAATAATTCAATAAAGGCAGAATAGTGCTTTTTATGATGTAAGTGGCAAATAAATATTTTGAATTTGAGCTGAATATTTTTGTATCTTTTTCCAGTCCTTGTTTTAATTTTTTCAGGTTTGCTTTCTATGAAAATTAGCAACGTTTTTAATTTTTTTAAATTTCAATAGAATCAGGTTTAAAAGTTATTTTTATACAATATTTTTTAATGAAGCCAATTCTATAAATTTCCCTCAATCTTTATTTAATATATTACAAACTTTTGTTTTTAGCAGTTGTCACAATGTTATCTTCTCTTATTTAGCTAAAACTTGGTTACAAATGACATTTCTGTTATGCTTGGGAAATAAGCAAAAATTCATGTCTTTTC